CGTGGGCACCAACGCGGCCCCGACAGCCTCCCAGCCAAGGCGTGCCCGGCCCCCGTGGTCCTCCCCGGGAGCTGGGTGGCCAGGTGGCTCTCGAGAGCTGGATTGCGCCCTGCCGGGTTGGTCAGGGGCTCGTCACAGGACGGGCTGCAGGGAAGCGCCGTCTGACCTGTCTTACGCTAACGGCCCGGCTGTGGGGTGTTCCCTCTTTCCTCTCAGAAATAGCTTTAATTTGCAGCATACAAGTTGGCAGGGTATCCTCGCTTGCAGCTGAGGAATCATTTAAGATTACGTTTTTAAATCTTCAGTGCTAAATGTAAAAGTCTGAATTCTCTTTTAATTTGCAGTTCTCTTTTAGTTTGCTTTTGGATGGCAATTTTCTTGAATCTGTGCTCCTGCATCCTAACCTGTACAACAGATATAAAACTTTAGTTCTGGGTGAAGTATTCACAACATGTATTTTTAGAAGTGCTGCAGACAAAAATGCACTAAATGCCTGTGTTTGCCATCAAAGCTCTGGTTTTGTTTGCCTCATACTCTGTTGTAATAGAGATACCACTTCCCTCTGGAGATAGCAATGGACAGACGGTACTGTCAAGGTGAAAAAGATTTCTCATCTGACACTGTAATAGGACTAATTGTCCCTCCAGAGCAGATCAGGGTTGGATCATATGCTGTGCTTAATCAGGCCTCGTGTTTGACTGCTTTGGCAATATCTTCTTTGCCTTCTCGTTCTTCGGCACTTCACGTGTGCTGTTCTGCTTCAGCATATTCAGATTTTGAATGTGGAGCAGGGTGAAACTCAATTCTGAGGGTTTATAAAACGTGGGCCACATTGCAAGAATTGTGCATGCTTGCTGTGAATTAAAGTGTACAGAGCATAATCTTGCATTTTTCAGAGCAAATATGTGTCCACATATACTGGCCTTGTGGTGAAAGAGAACAGTTTACTGTTACTGTAAATAAATAGATATTAGATAAGGTATTTTTGTCATTTCTGCACAATAAATGTGGAGAAAACATATAGGAAAAATTGTGGTTATGAAAGAAATAATGAGTACAAGTTTCTTTTCCAAATAGAATGGAAATTGTCACTTTCACTTATGTGACCAAAAATGTTACTCTAGTGAAAGGTAAAAGGTCACAGGTAATGAGGCCTTGTGGTGTTTGATATAAACTTCCCATTTGAAGTCTGTTATTTAGTAAGTAAATAGTCAACAGTAACTGTGAATGCTGTACACACAATAGACTGTTATATCAACATGCAGCTAACTTCTGCTGAAAGTCAGTAGCCCTCTAAAATAACAAACTGCAGAACCTTTCCTTCCGTGTGTGCTGGCCAACTGAGAGCATCTGCTCCTCTTGCATTTCAAAATTACTGAGAGCATCTGCTCCTCTTGCATTTCAAAATTACGGTGTGTCAAGAATTTGGCTACAATTTCTGGAATATAGGAGGGTAGCAAATTTAAAAAAAAAAATCTAATCATATTAGTGAAATTTTTAAATATTATTACCAACTTTCTTGTTACTCTACTACCTGCTTTTGTAGCCAGAAATAGGCTGTAGTACTTGTCATTAATGATAGAAGCCAAGCAGCAATGCTGAAGCATTGTGGAAAACATTTAGTTTCCTCCTTCTTAAAAGCAAACCAGAAATAGAGCTTTACTTTTTCCCCCCCTCAAATAATATGTATGCATTTAAGGATTTGTGAAGTACAAATTTGGTAAATATTTTGTCAAACATAGGACACTCTGCCCAATTTCAAATTGGAAGAGGTGGTTTTGTTCTTTAGCTTGCTTCTGTAAGGCACTTGGAGTCTTTTAAATCCTTTGCTTCTGTTTCTTCCAATGCCAGCATAATGTGAGGCTGGAATAATCATCCGTGTAGGGTCCCATTTTATCAGAATCAGACTGTTGAGACAGGCATTGACTTACCGCCTGTGCATGCTCTTAGGAGATAAGGGCAGCACAGAGTAAATGTTTTGCAATACAGTGTAGCAGGAAAAAAAACATTAGTGCATTTCTGAGCTGTATTTTACACAACAGGTCTTCAATACAGTCGTTTCATATCTGTTTGCATAGTCTTTGAGTATAAGTGGTGATGTACACATACAATTTGAAACATTTCCTGTGGGAGTTGGTATCCTTCAATGTTTGTACTTTTTTTCATTCTGTTTTTATATCTGAGTGTGGGTCTGCTTATTAGTGACCACTCTGCATTTTGAAAGACACAGATGCTTACCATTATAGCTAATAAATAAAAAAAAATAGCTCCATGTTATTATTTCCGTATCATGGAATTGTGACATGATGTAATGGGGCCTGCTCTTACGCTTCTTGAATTAGTGTTAAAATTTGTGATGATTTAATGTGAGTAGTACGGAGCCTTTAGCTGATTTTCAAGAATCTGGTACCTGATTAAGCCTCCTGCGTTATAACACAGTGCTGCTGGGTGGCTGCAGCTTGCTCTGTTGGAATGGCAATTGGTAAGCGCAATGGACCACACCGTCATATTGCCAAATACGCTGAGTTCTTGGCCACGCGGTTATTGCCATTCCAAACCCTAAGCCAAGCAGGAAGTTAAAGTTTGGTGTCGAGCTGTAAAATAGGGAGGGATAATCTGCTCCTATTGTACAGCTGACCCAGACTGTAGTGGGCCAGTGTAATTGTTATGCTCTACTGGAATATTTTAGTTCTATGTTATTTTTAGAAACAAAGGTGATTTACTAGGCAAAATGGCTGGCACTGAGTAGTATTAGAAACTAGGGCACCTATTCCAAGGAGTGTTGAGTTTTATGAAATAGCTGTTTAAAAAAAAAAAAAAACAAAAAGAAAAAAAGGAGGGGAAAAAAAAGAAGGAATGCTAATATACTTTAATCCAAGAGGGCCCATGACAGTAGTTTACTGTGTGGTGTAACGCCGCATAGAGTTCTCACAGATACGTGTCTATGCATAAACTGCTCTGTTTTGTAGATATAGTGAAGTCAGAGATCATTATATAATTTTGCTCATGCAAAGCTGGTGGAAAACCTTAGTAGAGAGCTGGTGTATGCTGTCCTCACAAATGGACCTAGGAGTATAAGCCATGTCTCGGTTCCCTGCACAATGCCTGACATTAAATTGTTGTTGAGCGATGGAGCTGGGCCACTTTCAGAGAAAATGGTGTGTTGATAGTTAAGTGTGAAATATAGAAGTTTTCACTGAAATACAGTAGTCAGATGAGACCACAGCGTAGCAGTTTGTGACGTCAGTCATTTATTTGTGTCTTATAAATAAGATCCTACAATCTTAGGAAAGTCTACCTGAAAAATATACTTGAATGAGAATGGTTCTTCAGAGGTATGTAACTTACCAGCCTTCAAAATAGGATTCCTTTAATTTTGCTCTAGAGTGGAATATAGTGAAAACTGAAATACTGCTCATCTTGCACCCAAAAAGAATGGGAGTGAAATATCCATATAATACTAGTTTGGTTATGGAGCAGCTCTGGTCTTCAGGCTGCACAGATTGTTTGCTTCCTGGTGTGTTACATGAATAGTTTAATGTTTGCATTTTTTATAAAAGTTTTAACAGCCAAAGAGCTGAATTTGATTTGCAATTTAGTAATTAGACTAAACTTTCCTTTTCATGTTTTTGATCTCACTAGGTTGGCAGCCTCGGTGGTTTGTTTTAGACAATGGAATATTGTCATACTATGATTCGCAGGATGATGTTTGCAAAGGCAGCAAAGGAAGTATAAAGATGGCTGTGTGTGAAATAAAAGGTAAGAGTTAATAGACTTCTGCTTGAGGAAATTTTAGCTGCCAGGGAAATACATTTTCCCAAGGCATATTTTGCATCACAAATTTTTCCTCCTCTGTTTTTGTTTATCTGTAGTCCAATGTGACTGCTTCGTAGTTCACAAATAATAATGAATGCAAATTATGAAATGGTGACAAAGAAAAATGTTTTTGACAGTTAGAGCTCTGTTTTGAGATTTAGAACCCACCATATAGTCCTTTTTGTTTTAAATAGTTGTGTGCATGTGGCTTACGCTTGAAGTTACCTCGGCTAGTTATTTAGTTCTACTGCTTATCCCTCTTAGGACCAGGGGTAAGAGACTGATGAAGAGCAGCAGCAGTGACCCAAAAGGGGAGATTCTTACAAACCAGAAATGTTTAGCCTTTTGTTTTCCTGAGAGCAGCTGCCCATGTGCATAGGTGATGGATGTGTTAGAGTTAGTAAGTGAACTGTTTGTGTCAGACTGTGACATGTATTCTAAGCTGTAGGTCAACCTTCCTGGCTAGTAGCAAGGCACTCTCTAACTCTCCATTGCTTTCAACTCTTGACTTCCTTCCAGATCCCGCAGATGACTGGGCTTGTGATATGGGTACTTGTGCATTAAAAAGTGGGAGTTCTTATTTCACATAGGCCACCAAGTATTTTTCATGTGGTAACTCCTTTTTGGTGCTGTTTCCGTGGTGTAGATGAAATCAATGATGTACAGTGGAAGATCCCATTTTTTGGCCATTCCAGTTGCTCATTTTGCTTGTCATCTTGTTCTTTTGGTGAAGGAAAGATAATAGTTGAAGTCCAGATTTGGTGCAGTCCCCTGCATCCATGGCTAGTGGGTCTGTAGGAACTGTGGTTGGTAACATGAAACTCAGCAGCGTATTCAGTTAAAGATGTAGTATTGAATATAACAGACTGTAAAAAAAAGTCCACCTCAGTTCTTGATTCTAGGACTCTGTGGGCAGAAGCCACAATTTGTCTAGAAGGGAGATTATTTCAGTTTTTAGCCTAGTCCTCTGTAAATACTTGTCCTTGCAACAAAACTCTTCAGTTTGCCATGTTTAGACCAGGTTTGGAATACAACAGTTGTTACAGATGCATACGCAGTATATTCTTAATGCAGAAAGGGAACCCCATTGTACTTGAGTCTGGCCACCGTTTGGTGTCTCGTGTTTCACCTGTTGACTTGAAGGCATGCTGGGGAGAAGGATTGAGCAGCTTTGGGCTTTTTGTTGATTAGCAGTGATACATTGTGACATACTATTTTACTATGGGATTGTAATAAACATTTTAAAATATTTTGGTTGTATTTAATAAATAATTGTTACTGAGTTGAGGTTATTTTTTTTCAAAATTGTTTTTTTCTCCTCTATCATAAGTTCATGCAACAGACAACACAAGAATGGAGCTAATCATCCCAGGGGAACAGCATTTCTATATGAAAGCAGTTAATGCAGCCGAAAGGCAAAGGTGGCTGGTAGCTCTGGGGAGTGCAAAAGCCTGTTTAGCAGATACCAGAACAAAAAAAGAAAAAGGTATGTGTGTTACCTAGAGCATATGCAATCTCACCACTTTTTCAAATGCTTGTTTTCTGATAGTGATAGTGCAAATATTGTGGTAGAAAGTCAGTATTATTGTCTTTAAATATAAATCATAATTATTTATAGTCATCTCTGTGGTAAATTCCCCTTTGATGTCACAATTAGAGGTCACCTCCATTGACCTCTTCTATCTTAAGAAGCTGAAATACCAGCAACTTATTGTTGTTACAAGAACAAACATAGTGTTTGTAGCTCTTGTGAAGCCATTTAATTTCTGCTGTTTTGATTCTTTATAGTTACTATTGTTTTTTCCATAATTTTTCTTGGATGGCTTAATGTCACCATATCCAGCCACTCTGGTGGGCGTAAATTTCATTCACTAAACTTTTTCTACATTACATTGCAGCTAAGAAAGATTGCAACTTTATCTTTCCTAGTAATGTGCCTCTTTCTTAATGGTCATTAAATTAGTATCAGTTATCCAAAAGTACAAACTATTGTCTGCTTCAAGTACAGTTCTTGACTCCTTGCAGAATCCAATTTTTCTCAAAATTAAGTGAAAGTTTAAGTGAATTTTTAAATTGATATTTAAATTTAAATGAAAAGTGCTTAAAAATTAAAATGTGTACATACATTGTATGCAATAAATTGATATTTCCTTTATTTTTTATAGAAATAAGTGAGACCAATGAATCTCTTAGAACCAAAATGTCCGAACTTCGTCTCTACTGTGATCTTTTAATGCAGCAAGTTCATACAATACAAGAATTTGTTCACCATGATGAGACTCGCTCTCCTCCCAGCATTGAGGTACAGAATTTCTAGAATGCCATTGGAGAACCTAACTATATAACACGCCTCAAGATTCTGTTGACATCTTATGCCTTTTTCATCTCCCTAATGTTGGGAGATTTAACCTAAGGTCAATTTTTGAGTGCTTGTCTGTGTATAATACTTACAGTGATTATATGTGCGTACAGTACCTGGATGATTTAACTGTAACATGCATTAGGAAGCAATTGTGTTATCAAGTCTTTTGTTTAAAAGGCTAGAAGAGCTGCAGTATGAGTTATGCAATAACTTGTCTTGTTTCGCATCTCTGTTATGGGCAGAGTAGTTGAAACAATTTTGTTTGTCCATTCGTTACTTCGTTACCCTTCGTAGGAGGGTATTCCATTTTGTTATCAGTGAAAGCTAATGTTACAGGTATGGAAATCTGCGGTGTAGATAAGTCTCTCTGAATATGCGCAAATAAAATTATTCTAGTATTTCTGCTTTTGAATGGAAGTTAGTACTGGAAATTATGAATGGTTTCATTCTTTACACTCTTGAGCAGTGTGTGGACAATATTGTTGTCACTTTAGGGCAAAGCAAGGGGTTGGTGCTTAGTCACAACACATGAAATTGTTGTCAATTTACAGCAAGGTGAAACTGCCCTGCAGGCTCCTTGCACTGGAACGGTAAAGCTGTTTGCACGTTCTGCTGCAATTCATTTGTTTCGCTGAATGATCTTCTGATACCAGTTAGTCACTCTGAGACAAGCTTTGCAGTAAAAAAAACTTTGCGGCATTATTGGCTGATACCGTAAAGAAATTGAGATGTCAGAAAGAAATTACAATGCTGTCACATTTGTTTGCTTAAATTAACCTCATTGGAAGGTGTTCATTTGATTAAATAAAGTGGGACATGAAGTTCTTAGTGGTAAGGAGGGAAATTAGTGTGTGTGGGAGTGGTGGTGGGGGAGAGTTGTATTTGCATCTTTTTTTTTTTTCTTGCTTATGCTTGTGCTTTCATTTATTTTCAGAACATGAATGAAGCCTCTTCCTTGCTTAGTGCCACATGTAATACATTTATCACAACACTTGAAGAATGTGTGAAGATCGCTAATGCCAAGTTTAAGCCAGAAATGTTCCAGCTGCCTCACCCTGATCCCTTAGTTTCTCCTGTGTCACCATCACCTGTCCAAATGGTTTAGACTTTTTGAAATACTATTTTTTTTCTAAGTGTCATGTTGTTGGTTGGATTTGGGGGAGAATGGCAGAAGAGTATGCTATTGCTATATGCTATGATGTCAACAGTTGAAGTCTTGACTCTGTTATGATCCGTACTGGTCCTAAATATAAATCAATAATTTTCCATTCCCAGTCTTTGCTAGCCTTTACATAATCAGAGTAATTTATTGTATGTGTCAAGACCCTGTAATGAAGTATCTCATAAATGAATGAGGTTTAACTTTTCCTCAGTTCAACTGTTTCTTTGTTCTTTAGAATGCTAGCTGTACACTGATCTTAAAAAATTCATAATCTTGCCTCCTGTTTTTTTAACAAAAAGGTAAATAATGGTAAAGATATTACTTGCATAACTCTTCACTGCTGATTATTTCCCTTAGAAGGACAGTGTATGTGGAATTATCTTAAATGTCTTCTCGATCATATGTATGGATTCCAAGATGAGATGTAATATGGGATTTTGTTGTGGGAATCCGTTTCTTTGCACTTGGATCTCTTGTCTCTTTATCTTCAATCAATTTACTTACAAAGCTGATCATTATTGATTTAAATTAGTAACTTTCTTTGATATGCATAGAGATTTGACAATGGTATCGGAAGAACCACAAGGAATCAAGAGGCAGGATTTGGCTTTATTGTAATGGGGAATTTAAGCTGGCATTTAGTAGAGGAAAAATGTCTTGATACTTCTGTACATCATAGCAATTAACAAATGGCTTTATGAGTAATTCTGGAGCAAGAGAAAATGAATTCCGTAGAAACTAGGTAGTATTTTTTTGTAGTAAACTATTTCCTGTGTGAATGCTTTAAAACTTTTAATATTGATGGCAGTCCAGCTGTTTTCATACAGTTAAATCAGATTTTTAACTAGGAATGGTTGTTTTTAGTTAAAAAAAAGATTGCCCTCCCTTTTTGTAGAGTCTGTAAATAAAGAAAAAATTAATGTAGGTATGCATATTATTCTTATAAGTAGCTTGTGACATTTTTGGTGTGGTTTGTTGTTTTTGTCCGCCCCCTCCCCCCACCCCTCCGCCAGATGAAGCGTTCCATTAGCCACCCTGGTCCTTGCTATTCAGAAAGGTAATTTTCTATTTCGTTAAGCTTTTTTCTTATGTCTCAAAAAACCTCCCCGAACCTGCTAGCATTAAAATAAAAAAGTGAGAAGAATTGTTCACTTGGGGGGGCAGAAATTGAACAGCATAAATTGATCTAATTTTGAAAACTAAGGGTGCAGATTATCAGTGTCGGTTGCAAATAATGCAGCTGCTGTCTCTAATACACTATAAAAATTTCTTCATGCTAGAAACTTTATCCAAATGAGTTATTTTGACAAGTTCATGAAATTAGACATTCTTTTTGGGTCAGTATTTCAGATTCTCAGATTACTTTCTTCTGTGTGCAAAGATTATTTACATTTTTATTTCCATTTTCAGGCCTTATAATTGTGAAAATTAGAACGTTCTAATTAGAAAATTAGAATGACTGTGCCATTTTTAGTTTAGTATAGTAAAAAGCATTGATACTAACAGTTTAAGCAGCAAAATTAATTTAAATTTAAAGTATATTAAGTTTGTGTGGGTTGTTACAGATTTTGCTTACTAATAGATCTCATTTCTTTTGTAGGAATAATCACTCTGTAAAAGAACCAATTTCATCCCTTCACCGATTTTCACAGCGGCGCAGAAGAACGTACTCGGATACAGAATCTTACAGTGATACTCCCTTTGAAGATTCTCAGAGTAAGTTTGGAAGAGGGATGGTTTTCTTTTGTGTCTTTCTGTTTATTACCCTGTTTACAGCAGCTGATATCAGCACAAGGAAAAAAGTTTTCTTAGTTACGCAAAGTTTTGGTTGTAAGATTCCTATATTATAAATCAAAGCACTTGTGTAGTTTGTTATATGGCTGACTCTTGCTGGCTTTCATTCATATTGAAAAGGATCTTACAGCTGGAGTAGTTGTATTGAAATCAGTGAGACTACTGGCAAGATAAAATAGAGACATAACGAGGAAAGCGATGTTTGTACTAATGGAATTTTACGTGAATGATGTTCTGGTAAGTGGTGTGGAATACTGTTGTTTGCCACCTACTTGTTGTCACAAAACAAATTCTCCTTTCTGTGACCCCTGTGAGTGGCAGGGGGTAATTTCCACCCAGTACATTGCGGAAGGATGGTTCATTTCAGTGGCTGCTTGCCTTTTGTAGAGAACAGCACTGTTCTGAAAGAGTGCACCCTTGCCAATAATAAATAAAAGCAACCGAAAAATTATGAAATGATGTCATGATCAGAATATGTTTTTTCCTTTTGAATCTTGCTGTCATTTTGACTCCATCCTAACTCCTCTCAGGGAGACTTTAACTTGATTAGTTCTTCTTGGCTAGTTCTGGTTTAGTCTTGGTTCCTTTTGGAGTGCCTAGTGCCTCACTTGGACTGAAAAAACCTGAGGCCTGTGCATTGCTGAAAGCCCACGTGAGCACGAAGAGGTACTAATGCTTTACGTTCTATCATGAAGCAAGTATTTGAACCTTCGCACCATTTCCTTGGTTCTCTGATGCTCACATGTTGCAGGGTGACCACTTCCTTTACCTCACTCATCGGCTACCAGCATAGGGTGTGCTAGCATGTATCCCAAGCTAATAAACTTAGTTTAGATCCTATTCTGTGTCTCATCGCTAACGTAGGTGCACATCAGTCTAGCTTCCTATAACGCAAGGCTTTTCTTGTTACCATCTGGACCTTCTGGTGTTGGTTACCCAGTCTGACTCTTTTCAGGACTGCTGAGAAGAGTCTTTGTCTTGTGTGTTTCTGCTAATACCAGGCTTTTTTGGTTCCTCACTATATAGCTCGAGTTTCTAGCTCAGCTTTTACTGTGTTAGAAGTTTGCTTTTACTGTGTCCCTCTGCTACCTTCCAGTTTTCTTAGTTCTTTCTCTTTCCTGTCAGGTAGCCTAGCAATACTCAACTTGCAGTGAGTCATTCACTTCATTTGAATAATAGAAAATGTTCTAATTAAATGCTAATCAATGCATCAGTTCTTTTTAAAAAAAAAAAGTTTGTGTTCCTCATACAGAATACGTCTGCACCTCACAGATTACTGTCCTTCATAATGTAAAAATCAAAAAAACAAACCAAAAAACAAAAAAAACCCCAACAACCACCAAAAAAATGCCCAAACCAAACACAAAAAACCCCACAAAACAAACAAAAAGGCAGTTACTTGATTTATACTAGTTGAACATTCTTCATATCCATCATCCTTGGGCATGATATTGATTGTAATCTTTCAGGAAAAGTCCGGAGTAATTATGCTACTGATTGCTTATGTATAGGAAATAGTTAGCAAATAGAATAACTGACAGATTGGATGAGGTTTTTTGAGGTTGAATTAAATACTTACTGGTATCTTCATAGGATCTGCTCACTGTTCTAGAAGTGCTGTCAATGGAGATCTGGTATCATCAACCATTCCTGAAGAAAATAGATCAGTATCAAAGGAAAGATCTGAACTGGAAGAGACTCTTTCATCCTTTTCTTCTTGAAGAAACTGAAAGTATTCAATTTTCTATAAATAATGCTATGCAAACGCTGCTGTAATTATACTGTTGTTATAGGAAGTAGTCATTTCCCTTTTTAGAAGGATTTCTCTGCACTTTATAGAATAACTTAAAAACTATCTTTGAAGTGTATTTTATCTTTATATAGTTTATTTGCAAGAGTATTTTCCTAATATTTCACAGTTTGAATGTGCATTTTTTGGAACAAATGATGGCTTAACAGATAAGCATCCACATTTGTAAATGTAGCTCTTTTTTAAAAGTGTGAAGATCTGACTGATACATTAGTAAACCTGCAGGTTATAAACTTCAGCAAAAAGGTTTCATTCTTTTTGGAGAAAATGCGACTTGTGCCATGGGCCTCTTGGTCATTTGTACCAGGTTATCCACCAGGAGCTGTGATTAGCCCTGCAATGGCTTTTTTGCCTGTGTAAGGGCTGTGGGAATGGGCACTAATGGGTCTACTCTGGCAGCTTGATGGTAATTGACATTGCCTTCTTTAAAAACATAAGGATATACATAATCCGGTCCTTATTTTTAACCAATGAAAGTAGAAATATTTAGTGTATTTTTCTAAACAAATGTATAAAAATAACTTAATATGAAGCATTTGTACCAAACATTGGATATTTAATAATTTTTATTTATTTATTCTTTTTTGCATCAAAAATTTCTACCTACTTTCACTTCTAAAGATCTACTAAAGGCTTCAAAGTGTGCATAAATTGTTCCTGGGGTGTGTAGCGTGATAAGTAGCTAGTGCAGCACTGTTAAGATTTACTCTACTCACTTAAGATGTGTTTTTAGCAAGTATTATAGAAGCAAGAGCTGAAATATTAGACCATTAAGCTGCTGTTGTGATGAATATTTGTATCTATACGTATTTTATTTATGACATATTTATACAAAAGGGAGCTTCTGGTTTTGCGACTCCTTTATATCATTTAAGGATGGTATACACCAGGAGATGGATTCTGCTCTCAGTTACATCAGTGTAAATTTGCATTAACTGTAAGTGAGATTGGAGTCTGACTCTCTTAATAATTAATGAGTAATATAGTATAACAGTGCCTATTAGCACCTTGGTCCATAAAGTTTTTAGTGTTAGCATTGTAAGCTTTTGGGGATTTTTTGGGTATTCCAATTTAGGGGTAAACTTGGTCTGTAAAGTTTTAGCTGTAGAGCACTTTAAGCAAGCCATTTATTGTTTTTGATTTACACAATTGTTAAATAAATGTACAGGGTTTTTTGCACTCAAGCACATACCAAAATCTGTATTTATAATCAAATCTTCTTTAATTTGGTTTAACAAGTCTTCCTTTTGTGTATATGAATAATTTGGTGATTTTGAAGCAGGCTGGAAAGGACAGATGGGAATGGAATGGAAGCTTTCCTTGTAAATTTCTGGAATGTTGATTTATCTAAATCAAAATAGGTCCAAACATTGATGAAAAACATATGAGCTGTTGCCCATATGTAAAATAGCAGTTTATAAACCATTATGTCAGGGTCAAATGGAATGGAATCGCTCGTACAAATAACATTATTTGTGGATACCAGCTCAGAGCTGTCATTTGTGCTCAGTTCTGTCAGTTTTCATGCAACGAACATTTGCATATGCATATCAGCCACACACATGCTTGTACATTTTTTTCTGAATGTTTGCTTTAATGTATTCTGTATGACACTTATGACAATTGTAAAAATAAGTATTAAAAAAGATGTTCAGAGAAGTAAACTACATACTGCAATGAGAGTGTTGTCTTGAGTCATATGCTGTCTTGGAGCTGCTTTTTGAGATTTGACTGAGGTTTCTGCCAGCTTGTACAGTGTTAAGTACGTGTCACATTAACAAATACCTTTTTCTGGCTTTCAACTACTACAGAGAAAATACAACGTTCAGGGGCTTTAAACTTCTGAAAATTAATGTTTGTATTTCTTTCCACTTAGTGTATAGTAAGTCAGCTTGACTTTTTTTAATTCTGCCCTCCCCCCACCCCGAGAAAGTGATCTCTGAGATAGGAATACTTCAGAGGTTGCTTCTGCATTAAAAAAAAAAAAATGTACTTAATGTATTTAAAAAGTGAAATCACAGCTATTTGTGTTAAGGTTATTTTCACAAACTATAAACTTGAGTTTTGCTTGTTATGCCACCATCAGTTTAAGTATTGTAGTGTAGCTGTTGTTCCTGCTGGTGTAAGTTAATAATGTTTTAAAGGGGTATAATACCTGAATGAAGGAAAAGTCTGTGTCTGAAAACTAACTATTTTTTTCAGGTGTTCCTCGTTATCCTGCTTTAAAAGAGTTAATGTGAAACCTGCCTGTTACAGGCATTTCTTTACTGACTACTTTGAGGGCTGAACCCAAGAGTTTCAGATCCAGATCTAGAAGAGAACGTTACTGCTTAAAGGGGATTTATGTAGAACCTGGGTGCCCAAATCCACAGTTGCCATCTTGAAAATCTCTGCTGCTTAACATTGAAGACCAAAGGACCATATAGATTTTTATTTCGCTTGTGAAGCTCTCCACATGACTGTAACTCTGTATGTACATCCTTAGAATTGCCACTGTCTTGGAAGGACTTGGCCCCTTAGCAGCTAACTTAAGCAGTGCACTAAGATTTGGAAACTAGGCATTCCTCTGCCCATACAGCAGGGGGACCCGTGCTTCACTGTTTTGCAAAGGATGCAAAGATAGTGTAATGGCCTGCACTTTAAAACATGCTAAAAGAAATGCTTTACCTCTGTTCTTCCCACCATGTACGTACAGTAGTGATTAGAAGGTGTCATTTAGGAATTTAATTAGCATTTTGATATTTGTTAAGTCTGGATGAACAATCCAGAATGTTGTTTGACAAGTGAGTACCATAAGAAAGTAGTCAGACTGTTTCCCAACTCTGCTGTCTGGTGCCACCGCCGCCTTCATGGTAGGACACTATCATCGTGGCTATTTATGCACCAATATACATAGGTACTCCCATAGCCGTATCCTGACTGTTCTAACCAGCACGAATATGGGAGAGAAGGCTGAAGATGAGAGCACAACTGTATCTTGTGGATGTGGTTAAAAAAACCAAAAACAACAAAAAAAAAAACCAACCCCAAAAACAAACCAAAACAAAACCTGACAGGCCTTCTTCAGCTCTTTCAAAGGGAAGGGTAAGCAGGCATCTCCGAGACTGTCAATTATAGATGTCAAAGGTAATACTTTAAATCTGTTGAGGGACAGGATTTAAGAGTGTCTCCTCTTTTTCCCTGTGTTTTATATTCTCTTGTGATAAATACTGCTTTGGCTACTTCTGTATCTTCCCTTTCTCAGTGTGCTCTGTAGGCTGTTTAGGCATTTTCCACTAAGTTTGGGTTACAGTGGCAGAAACAGGTCGTAATTACCTTACATGGGTCTGACTCTTATTTTTCTAAACACGGGTGGTCATTTTCTGGCATGTCAGAGTACCTTATTTTCTCTGTCATCCTTTCACCTTTGTACCACTACTGTTAGTACTATGGCATGTTCCAGTGTGGGAATGACTGAATGATTTATTTTTCACTGTGTTATGCTTTGTTTTTTTTTAATAGACATTAAGTATTCTGATTTTTTTTTTTTTTTAAATCCAAGCTCTAGAATATTATCGTCTTCAAAAAGGGGGGAAGGAAAAAAAACACCTGACTTGAGTAGATTTAGATTTAATATTTCATTAGAGATGTGAGGGTTTTGTGTTCTGGTCACGTAATTTTTTTCCCCTTGAAGGGAAAAGTCGTTGAAACTGGAGACGATGGTAAAAATTGAATGGTAAGACTAGGGTTTTTTGTCTGCTAGTGGTAAAATGAATCTCTTAGTGTTGTTATGGTTATCCACCATCATGGTTATTTTTCTCAGGCTGCCAAATGTAAAGTGTTAGTAGAGAATGTATAGCCGTATAGTAGAATTTATACAACAGCTCAAGGAGTTTGCTAAAAAGTTTTTCCTTATATGTCAGGACCCAGGAAACATGAAGTCCAAATGCCTTCACACACAGCAATGGTAGGACATTTTTCTGAACTTGGTCCTATAGTGCAATAGATTTTATCTTTAAAGATAGTAAATGTCAGCTTGTACAGTTAAAAATCCCAATATTCGACCTGAATATAATAAGCAAATAATTTGAAATATTCATTTCTCATTTTATGTTTATTTTTTTACCTAGAGACAGCTTAATCTATTGTCTCAAAATATTACTGTTTAGGGATGTGTTCTGTGAAACTGAATAGTGAAACTTTAGGTTGTGACTTCATCAGTGTCATGCTATATTAGCATTCGCTTAGCAGTCTTGTGAAAAAAACACTGGCTCAGCAGGTTGGCATGTAAAGTTATCTATTAAGGCTGTGCTTCAGCAAAGCCTGCAAGTACTTTAAAACCTATTTTTAGGCATGTGAGTGACTCATCTGCTTAAAGTTAGGTGTGCTTGCTTAAGTACTGTGCAGCGTTGGGCCAGAGAGGTACAGGCAGAACAAACTTGCTTACATTGCCACACCAGTGTGCTTTCCTCTTGATCAAGTAAATATGTCTAGGCTCAGTAGAGGCCATGGAAGACTGAGTTTCCAGTAGCATTTGTGGAGAAGAGTCCGTGCTTAAATCTGCAGATGCTGTCTGTCACTATTACTTTCTGCTGAGATGACTGACTAGTGCATTTTTAGTGTTAATTTTATTGTGTGCCTGTGTACACAAGTTAGTTCTTGGTTAAACAAGACTGTATCTCTGTATTTTTGTCTTGTATTGAGTTTGGTTTTTTAAAAACATCTAATACAGTTAAAATGAGAAGCTTTCTTGAGGTTTTTTTTTTTCTTTAAATGCTTTAAAGAGTAAAATAAATGGCCTTTTTTACCTCATTTATTATTCTTTTTTACTTTCCTCCCTAAGGAAGAAATACCACCCACTCTTAAAACTCTTCCATCTTTATGGTTGTTTCTGAATGTTCCTGGTTCCATCGCTTGAAAATGGATGGATCTTGGGCTGGATCTTGTCCTTACCCAAAACTTAGTTCATCTGACATCCTTATTTTTTCTTTAGTCCTTGTTTCATCCCCATTTATTAGTTTTTCTGCATCATTTGAATAGCTAGTGGTTGATAGTATATAGTTTATAGGAAATTAAAAAAAAAAAAGTCTGCTTCTATAGCGAGTCATCTTGGAATAAGTTTTTAAACATACTACCTGCTTTACTACTTCTGACAAACTTGAGCTTTTTTGTAGTAGTAGTAGTAGTAGTAGTACTACTACTACTACTATGCTGGAAGTCAGTGATGCATAGTGTTGCTGACTAATGCTCCTGCTCCATTTAAGAGAATTTTACAGCCCCTGAAGCAGTGTTGCATTGCTGTGAGTGTACTTGCTCTCAAGCTTTTTCTAGTGACCAGAGTGAATTCTAGAAGCAGAGTTGCTCCTTTCACCTTGATACTCTTTTCCCCATAGATAACCAAAATTGTGACCAGCCTGCATGGGATTTGTGATACCCCCCCAGGAATGTAAAGACAGGCTTTGCTTCTATAGATATGTCAGCTGACTTGAGGGATGAAGAGCTGATGGGGCATGGGCCCTTAATCACCCATGGAGGTGAGAACTTGTAGGTCCAGGCAATTAGGGTCAACTGGTCTATACTAGTTGCAGCTGCTGAAAAAAGGAAGCAATATCCAGATTTTCTGGAGGCAGTTTTTTAACTGCTTTGAGCAGAGACCAGATATAAAGAAGAGAGATAAGCAATTTATCCATATAGGGTGTAGTGGAAGGCCTGGAAATTCACTTAACAGAGGGATAATAAGAACAGCATAATGCTTAGGCATGTGCTAGAATTTATCCTGTGTCAATGAAGAACCTATGAAGAAAACTTTGTTTTTTTAAGGCTGACTTTCTGGTGGCCAGGCTGTTTCTGGTAGATGGCTGGATTTTCAACAGTTAGCTACCTGGTTTACGTTGGAGAATCGCATTTCTACCTAGTCTATTCTTTCAGCAACTCTTTTTCTGTAGTATAGTACAGGAACTGTAAAAACAGAGCATAATAAATAAATAACAAGGAGTTGCAGATTTTATGGTGCAGAAAGCATGCTTTATTTCAAATGAACAATTCTATCTCAAGGAGGTTCAACAGCTAACAAGATTTATTACTACATTAGGAGAACTAAAGCAAATTGAAGTGCAGGGCGGTATTTGATGTTGTAACAACAGTTTGTTTTCAAACTGTGGTTCCTTGCTTAGTTGCCTGGAAGTGACTACTGGATGTCTAATACTACCACACAAACTCAATCACTGCACCCTACGAACCTCCGAGAGGGGGTACTGCTGCTGCACTTGAGTACCTAAATAGCTTCATTGATTAAGGGGATGGCCAGGTGATGTTACTTTTTAAAAACTATTCAGGCAGTCAGTATGTCAGAAACAGTACGCAGGCAGTGGGTGAACAAAGTGCTGGCCGCTTGCACTTTGTCCAAAAATTGTCAGTCAGGTATGGAAATTATGACATAATCAGATCCAATGTAAAACGTTAAAGCAATGCTTACAGGAGGGTAATTGCAAACATCACCAATGCCTTACATTTCTGATTCAACATAAATATTTGTGCATGTATGAAGTACTATGCACGGTATCATCTCTTAGATGTAGGTAGTCTTCAACAGGGAGCCTCTCTACCTGTTGAGGCGTTCTTAGACATCAACAATGAGTTGAGGCGCAAAAATTAGTTAAATGTTGAGCAGGGTAGTCGTTTGCTAGGAAACTTTCTCCTACCAACTGTTAGTTCCAAAAGTTACGTTTCAAAATGTCATAAAGTAAATGGTACAAAACTTCATAACCGTTAACTTCGGCTATATACAGTATGTACATGTCAGTGAAAAAAGTGTTTAAAATTCTTAGGTCAATAATGACTATAAGTCATAATGTATAGCTCTGGACTTTGTCTCATTCAGGTAGGTACAAAAATATTTTTTTTTTTATATTTACAGATCAGATATTTCAGTCCATATACGAATCACTTGTAAAAAGACAAGTGTAAATAATACAGATCAAGCTCTCTAAATTGATCGAATATTAATATTCACAGTGGCAGAATCGGTACCAAATTCATTTCCTAAATTTAGGGTATAAAGTCCACCGTCGTTCTTCTGGACATCCATGATGATCAGAGTGGTTAGATCTTCACTGGTTTCAATGTGGAATCTCCCTTGCTGGTCCTGGCTGGTAATTTTTCTCCCTCTGCAGTACCATGTTATTTCAGGAGCAGGTTCACCCGAAAAGGCACAAGATAGTGTGAGAACTTTTCCTTCATCAATGCTGATATCAGATGGGAGAGCTTCAATTTTGGGTGGTACTCCTTTATAAAACAGGAGAAGAAAGGCCAAGTTAGTCTGTTTCCACTAAGCCATGCAGCAGGTTTACTCTGAGGACTACTTCAGGATATTTGAAGCACTAACTCTACCAGTAACTGTATTGCTCACCTCTCAGACCTGATTTAAGCATTTTACTAGTTGAACTCTCCAGTTGAGCCATACTAGATTTCCCCATAATACTGCTGGAGCTCATCTCTACAATGGATTCTTTCATGGAGGACATGCTTTTGGCAGACATGCTTGCAAATTTCATTTCAGTCATGCTGCTACTGCTGAAACTGCTGAATGAAGCCTCTTGTTTAGAAGAAGCCATTTGAAAGGACTGAGAAGAAAAACTTTCGTGCATGCTTGCGTCGCCACTTGTCTTCACTACTACCTCTTTTGGAGGTTCTTCAATTAGAGCTGGGGAGCATCGCAAACATAGAAGGAAAAACCAATAACGTCACATTAACAAACGAAGTCATGCAGTTCTATATGGTTAATTTTACAAAAATAAGAGACAGCACAGTATGCTTTCAATGGAAAACTGCAGTGCAGTATAAAATTGTTTACAGTCTTCTGATTCAAGATGTCCAAATTACAAACTAATTTATAAATGAAACAAATAGGAAATGGCACTGCTACCAGTATGTATGAGCCTGAAGGAAAAACATACTTAAGAAATAGGTCATCACACAGCATTTCCTATTAGAACCATTACTAGAATTAGACAGTGAGAAATTGTGTGTTCACGTTTGTAGCAGTTGTGAGACATTTTCAAGTTCTTACGTGGTATAGGAAAGTCTGTATTTCACTGCATTGTTCTGTAGCTATTAAAGGCAACAGACAAGCTCAATCACTGTAGCTTTCCTTTAAACCCAGGCACAGTCATACAAGCAAATCATAGCAATCCCTTGATGCTAGGAACTGGGTTATGGTACAGCCAATAAAATACTAAGCCCAGTTCAGTTATGGCTAAATTACCGTAAACATTTTTAACTGTTTTATTGGAACTGTTTTATTTAACTTTGTTTTATTGGAACAGATTCTGTTAGTAAATGAGGAAAGAGTAATTGCCAGCACCAAGGTCTTAACGCAGTCATCCTAGAAGGAATGATCATAGCCTTCTGTTAACATGCATCTACTGATGTAATAGAGCATCTGTTTGCTCTTCTGTGGGAGTTATAAAGATTTATAATGCTGTTTTAGTTCAGTATATATAATATACAAAAGAAATAGGAACTTGTTTAAATACCTTAATCAACATTACTAGTGGCTTTTATCATAAGTCGTTTTAGTAGACACACCACAGCAAAAAGTTGTGATTAGTCTGAACACAAGACCCAGAGAGCACACTTACGGTGTACAGTCAAAGATGCTGTAGCAGAGCACTGCCCGTGGTAATTTTTTGCTTTGACTGTGTATTTTCCGGTGTCACTCACTGCGGCATTTCGAATCTCAAGAGAATATGTGTTTTTAGAGCGTGTTACTCTGATGTGTGATGAAACAACAATCTGAGGAGGGAAAAAATGGTTTCCTTAAGATCAAGTTTATGAATAATTACAATTTTTCAAGTAAATATATTAAATAAATACTTACAAGTTGATTGTTCTTAAACCACTCAATTTCAGGAGAAGGATCCCCAGAAACTTCACAGGTGAACAATACATCTTGTCCTTCATTGACATTTTGAGACTTAGGCTGCATGATGAATGCTGGTTCGTTGGAGCGCTCTTTAGAAAAGGTCAGAACATACTGGCATTTAATAATGCCTTCATCAGTTTTACCCTCACAGGTGAGTATACCTTCATCTTTATTACTAGCCTTTTTGATAGTTAGCGTGTGATCACTTCCAGAGACACCGTATCTGTAATCATCTGAATTTCTCAGCTCCATTCCATTCAGCACCCATTTTACTTCAGAGGCACCAGGAATGTTGGCTTTCAGCGTCACTTTCTGCCCTTCGGACACTGTCATTTTAGTTGAAGAAGCTTTAATTTCTGCTTTCAATTGTTTGATGTCTTCAGTAACAACTGACCTTTTAATGACTTCTTGAACTGCTGCTTTTTCTTCAGTTGCCACTGCTGATTTCTTCTGGGTAGAAACTGTAAGCACCTCATCTTCTTTCTGAACCGATTTATGAGTTTCAGATATTCCTCTTACCTGGGAATGGATGTTTTTAAATACTTGGCCAGTAAACTGGAAGTTAGTTTTTGAAACACCTCCTTCCCCAATAATTTCACAGGTGTATTCTCCTTTATCAGATTCTGTGAGCTCATGGATTTTGAGCTCATAGGTGCCATCTGCTGCATAATGAAACTTGAAATGATGGTCGTCTTTCAGTTTTTTGCCATCCTTATACCAAGCCACTTCTCTGACACTTAAAACACTGCTTTCAACTGCACAGGATAACTTTACCTTATCTCCAAGAGCTTCTGCTTTCAGATGCTGTTTTATCTTTGGTGGAGAAGCAGTCGGTAATTGTACTTTCTCTGCTGGTACTGTTTTGTCTCCAGGTGGTGACTTTGCTTTTGGGGGGCTGCTGATGGGTTCAGGAGATTTCACTCGTTTAGGAGACTTAACTGGCTCTGGAGACTTTACACGAGGCTCAGGAGATTTGAGTGTTGGAGGTGATGTAATTGCTTTTTCAGGAATTTTTGTTCTTTGAATGGTCAAAGTAAAATGCGCTTCCTGTCTTCCTTCAGAGTTTTCCACCACAACAGTGTAGCTTCCTTCATCTGACATCTGGACCAAAGAAATTTCAAAGGTAGACTTGTACTGTGTTCGTGTTACTTGGAAGCGCCTCGAAGAAACAATGGGTTGACCTGCACGGAGCCATGTTATTGTTGGTGCTGGTTCACCGTCAACATCACAGGAAAATCTTGCAGTTTCCCCTTCAGAAACTGTGATTGACCGTGGTTTTGTAAGGATTGTTGCTGGCAGAGTGCTTTTAAATGCCTTGTGTACAGTCCTTTCTTCCAATGATTTCTCTTCAGCTGCACTGATTTTTTCTTCAGAAGCAGCGTAGTGTTCATATGATAAAAGTGATTCTCTTGTTGCTGACATTTCTGATTTGACCTCTCTTACTGAGGAACTTGCTTCTGTAGCAGATGCTTTCTTAAATGAGGAGACTGCATATGCCTCTGTTTTTGTCAAGTCAGGTAAAATCGACCTTGGTACTTCTTCATCTCTCCGCTGGGAAGAGTATGTAACGTAATCTCCTCCAGTAACATCTAGTGTTGCATAATCAGAGCATTCCCCTTTGTAGTTTGTGCATACAGCCCGGTATGTTCCGCTGTCATCAATGTGGCAGTCGAGAATCTCCAGAGTTAATACACCGCTGGTATTAGTAAAATGTATCTTACTGCTCTCCTGGAGCTCAATACCGTTATGGTACCACTTCACTTCAGCAGTTGGTTTTGACTGGACATTTAGAATGAACCTGGTATTATGGCCACAGGGTACCCGGTGTGAGCGCATTCTCAGGGTAATGCGAGGGGCATGGTCAAGGGTGAAAGGCTGCTGAGTCAGAACTTCATATTTCCTTTCCATAGTTTTCTGAGTTTTCAAAGCAGATTTCATGGACTCATATCTAGAAAATATATCAAATCTTGCCATCCTCTCAAACCGAGAGAGCGATCTTTCACTAGAAACTGGGCTAGGTGAGCGTGGTCGAGTTCTCTCTGGTGTTGGGGATCTTCTCTCACTTTCTTCAGGAGGCCTTGAGCGAGGTCGAATTAATTCAGATACAGGACGCATCAACTCAATGTAAGTTGGAGAAAGAGATCTTCTTCTCCTTAGTAATCTAGAGGGAGGTGAAAATTCCCTGTGAACGTGTTGCACCATTTCTATTTCTTCTTCTTCTTCTGATGTGATCTCAGTTATTTCTCTTCCCCTCCTTCTCCGGAGTCTCCTCTTTTCCTCCTCTGCCATATATTCGAGCTCACTCCTGTATTCAGAGAGTCGTTGAGCAGTGCCAACAGGACGGAGCAATTCTTCATCCTCTCTTTCATCCATTATTCTTTGCTTTTGTTTAGGTGGTCTGTAGGCAGCCCTGTCATGGCGTTGACGAAGCTCTGCATAGCTTGCACTGGTCTCAGCTTTAGTTGGGATGTGATAGCTTGAATACCTCAGGTCTCTTTTTCTTTCTTCCTCTGAACTGACCTGTGCTCCTGCAGTAGAATACCGAAGGGCAGACAGTTCAAAGCGTGGGGGGCTTCTACTTGGTGGGGAAGCAGAAAAGCCTAACTCCAGCTCTTCTTCAAGGCGCAGTCTTTCCTCTTCAGTTCTCTTCATGGCTAAATAGTCATCAATAGGCAGGAGTAATTCCTCGTCAGACAAGTCACCAAGCGATCGCCTTCTTGGTCTATAGTAATATTCGTAGTCTGGAGATGGGATATGCCGACGTGCTGGTCTCACAATTTCAAGGTCGTCTTGTGTTAGCTTTGGTATGCGCCATTTAGGCTTATACTGATCAGAAATGCGTGGCAGTGGCATCACGTAGAATTGCTCCCACCTGGAAAGACGTATGCGTTTCTGGCGTTTCTGAACAGTTCTCTCAAGTTTTCCTGGCATTTCGTACTGGTCTCGCAGCCTCTTGTACCACTTCATGTCTGACAGAGGCACAAAATGTTTAATGTTCTGATCTTCCTCAACAGTAGTGCGCACATGTTTGCGAGGCTCTGGGACCTCGTACGGCATACGAAGTCTTCTTTCTTCCTTCTTTTCTTCTTTCTTAATTTCGTATTCACCTTTGACGGTCTTAGTGCTAACAGCTGGTTTATATAAGATAGCAGCTTCTCTGAGAGCCTCTTGTGCAGTTTGTGTCAGTGGAACAGCTTCAACCCCAGAAAGGATTTCTGCCATTCGTAAGGTCTTGTCAATTTGCCTCTGTACGTGCTTCTCCCGCTCTTCTTCAGTCTTGTACTCACGCTTGACATATTTCAAGCGTTCAACTTTTAGATAAGCCTGACAGCTTGTAGATCCAGCACTGTTTGTAGCAGTAACTCTGTAATAACCACTGTCTTCTGGTAAAGTATCTCTGATATGCAAAGCATAATAGTCTAAACCTTCATGAATTATATCAAAGTTAGGACCAAAGGATAGAGGTTGACCATCTTTCTCCCATTTCAGCGTTGGTTTTGGTACACCAGACACCCTGATCTCAAAACTGACATTTTGGCCTTCTTGACATTCGGCATTTGCCAGCAGTCTTTTAAACATTGGCCTTAGTGTGGCGTCTGCTGGAGGTGGATGTGGAATCACAGTCAGCTTAGCTTTGCAGCTGTCTTCACCATATTTATTGCGTGCCACAATACTGTATTCAGCATCATCCTCTTCAGTGACTTTATTGATGATGAGTTGATAAAGACCCTTGTCTGATTCAAAAGTATACTTCTTATCATCATCACCAGGTTTGATTTTCTGGCCTGATTTGAACCATGTTAAACGAGGTTCTGGGTGAACTGTTATAGTTACTCCGAATCTGACATTTTCTCCAACATATGCAGTGCGGTTATACAAAGGCAGAGTAAATTCTGGTGGACGCTCTAATAGTCTCATAGTATCAACTCGTCGTTTCACTTTCCTAACAGTTCTGCATCTGTAGTGCTCAGAAATTTCTCTCACACCTTTAACAAAAAGTTCTGCATAAGAGCTGTCTTCACCATAGTCATTTACTACCTTGCATCTGTAGGTACCATCATCGGATTTAGAAACATCTTTGACGTACATGGTTGCCACACCTTCTTCATATTTGATTTCATATTTCTCATTGCTTTCTAATTGCCTCATACCAAAATACCATGTGACTTGTGTGGACTGATCATAGTTTTCAATCCTACATACGTATTTGGCATGCCCTCCTTCTTCTGTAACAGTATGCTTTATCTGCCCAGCAATGGGACCAATGTCTATTGGCGCAACTTTAACTTTAGCCACCGTTACGCCTTTCTGAGATCTAATCGCGCCTCCACAGGAAATGCGGGCTACTGACACAACTGTGTTCCACTCCTTCTTTACTAGAGTTTGGTAGTAACGCCTGTGCCTCAAGGTCTTGATGACTTTAGTGCTGGTCTTTTCTGTCTGCTGTTTTAGCCACACATGGTTAAGTGCTTCAGCAGCTGTCATCCGAGCTTTTCTTTCCTTTACTAGTAGGCGATCAATGAAGTCCATGGCCTCAATGCTTATGTCTTTGAATGCTTCATCATCAAAGTTGTATTCAGCATTTAGAATATTTTCAATAACTTGTTGGTTTGTTTCAGCAATGAAAGGATTAATGCCACTGAGAAGTATATATGTTAGAGCACCAACAGACCACATGTCAGTAGCTGTGCTGACCAAATCATGATGATGTACTTCAGGCGCATAATATTCAGGAGAGGTGAACTGGAGCCTAAAGCTGTCTCCAGGCTTCAACTGTCTGGCTTGACCAAATTCAACAATTTTAACTACGGAGCTTCTTCTTGTGAAGTAAATAATATTGTCTGGTTTAATATCAAAATGTCCAATGCTGTGGCGATGTAAAAATTCTAGTGCATCGCAGACCTGGCGTATGTAACTTACTATTTCTCTTTCATTCAGTTCAAATGAAGCTGTGCTGATTCTTTCAAAGATGTCAACTCCAGAAATGAATTCAAAGATCATGACCAATTCTTCTAGGCTCTCAAATGATTCATGAAGATACAGGATATTTCGGTGCCTAGCAATGTTTAGAATGGAAATTTCTTTCTTTACCAAAACTTGGTCAGCACCCTTTACTTTGACAAACTTGGCCAGGTAAGTCTTTTTTGAAACTGCCTCAACACAACGGTGTGTAATGCCAAACTGCCCACGTCCAAGCTCTTCTGCAATCATATATTTGTCATAGAGTTCCTTTGTAGAATAGTGAGCTGCTTTAACTGTGGTGACTTCTCTGGTTTCATCAACTTCTTCATCATAGTTCATTACTCTGGTCTTATCTTCCTTTGTTATAATTGGATCAGTAGGTTCAGAAGGCTGGCTTTGGCCAAACTTGTTCTCTGCAATTACACGGAACTGGTAGGTGGTCTTGCCAAATAGGTTCACCACTGTGTATCGTGTATCACGAGCTTGTGCAACACGTATCCATCGCTCTGCTGTTGTAGCACGTTTCTCAATAATGTAGTTTATGATTCTGCTTCCACCATCAGTAGCTGGTTCATTCCAGGTTAAGTTGACTGAATCCCTTGAAATGTCAGTTACCTTCAGACCTCTTGGTGGATCAGGCACATCAGCCACATCTAATTCAACTGTTTTTTGATCGATTCCAAATCTGTTTTTGGCACAAACAATGTAAAACCCTGCATCTTTTCTGTCAACACCATTTGGGAAAACCAGAGATGTGAATGATCGCGTAACAATGACTTGGTAGTGTCCATTAGTATCGATGAGGTCTTGTCCCTTCTGCCACGTGATCACAGGGTGAGGCTTGCCACTGAATGGAATTTTGATGCTCACTACTTCCCCTCGGAGGGCATGAACGGCTCCCATGCCTTCCAGGTTTTTGGGCAAGTGAATCTTTGCAGGAACTGGAATAGAAACAGGAAGAAAAAACAACACATGACAAAAAGCACATGAGAAAAGCACCAATAGTCTAAATATTCAAAGCTTAAAAAGAATTTGTCTTAGAAATCGAGACCCTTCATTCACCTTCAACGTCCAAAGAGGCAGTGCCAGACACAGAACCTCCTTGGTTGGTAGCTCTAACTTGGTATACTGTGGCATCATCATCCGTTACATTTGTGATGACCAGCTGGTGATATCCACCCTTGAATTCCTGTATCTTGATCTTTTCACCATCTGGCATGATTTCTTTGCCCTGTCTGTACCACTTGACAATTGGTTTAGGATGACCAGTGACTTTGCAGACAAATGTGGCATTAGCTTGAAATTTCACATTCAGATTTCTTAGTTCTTCTTTGAAATGTGGAGCTTGGATTGGTACATCAGATTTTGGAATGACTGGTTGTGATACCTCACTCCACTCACTTTCACCACCAAGATTTTCACATTTTACACGGAACTCATATTCAAGACCTTCAATAAGATCTTTCACAGAATAGACGGTTTCACGAATTTCATCTGTTGTTACAGAAATCCACTTGTTTTGTTTTTTCTCACGCTTCTCAAGATAATAAGTTCTAATCTTTGCACCGCCATCACTTGCAGGAGGCTTCCATGAGACAACACAAGAATCCTTTGTGACAGCACTTGCTACTGGCTGACCAGGTTGTCCTGGTTTTTCTGTAAAGAATAAAAAGGTTCAAAAACTGAAGTAAGCATGCCTCAGTAATTACAGGGGCATACAGAAATTGGTATTTTGGCATCCACTTACCAAATGGAGGCTTCATAACAACAACTGATGAAACCTCCAGTGCTTCACTAATGCCATATGTATTCTGTGCAGAAACACGGAAATAATAGCCTGCATTTTCAGCTAGGTTAACAATTCTACAGGTTGTGCCTGAAATGCTTGAAGATACAAGTTGCCATTCTGTTCCTTCCTTGGCTTCACGTTTCTCTATGATGTAATTGGTTATCATAGCACCTCCATCATCCTCTGGTGTTTTCCAGCTTATCACCACTGAATTCTTCAGTATAGACTCTACAACAATTGGCCCTACCGGTTTATCTGGCTTATCTGTAAAAGAAAAAGCACGCTATTTTTAGTTCTTTTGCTGGTAAGTATTTGAGAAAATATTCCACAAAAATACTGAAAATAAAATTAATTACCTTGTATTTCCACATTAAGTACAGTGTCAACCGTTCCAAATGTGTTACTGAGTTGCACTTTGTACTTCCCAGCATGAGCCTTGTGCTGGACATTCTTAATAGCAAGATGAGTATAATGCTCTGTGTTCTCAATAGTAACCGTTTCTGATCCTCTCAAAGGTTTGTTGCCATGGAACCAAGTTATTGCTGGTACTGGTCGGCCAATATACACGACATGAAGGCGGAGGGTGCCACCTGCACCTGCATAGTATTTCTCTTTCAATGGGAAGCCAGGATGGAACTGAGGAGGAGCCTGCAATAATAGCTTGCCACTAGTTTCAATTTCTCCGACATCATTGGTAGCCATACAAGTGTAGAGGCCTTCATCCTCCTGTTCATCTGTTATTACTGTCAGTGTATGGTTGCGTCCATCAGATGACATTTTGTATTTTCGGCTTTGCACCAGTTCTTTGCCGAAGCGGTACCATTTAATATCAGGCAAAGGTCTCCCAACAATCTGGCATGTCAGTTGAGCTGCTTCACCCAGTTTAGTTGTAACATCCTGCATTTCTTTTTTTATGGCAGGTGCTTCTCCAGCTACGACAAAGAAAATTAAAAAATAATTAAGATTACTATGAATTTTTCCTCTATATTCCTTACTATATCACTGGAAATTAATTTTCATTTATACTTGTGCCTCATACTTGAAAGGCTATTCTTTAGGACAGTCATGTAAAACAAATAGGCAGCACCATGGTTTGACACAGCAAATCACAATAGTATCACAGCAAATACAATGTATTTTTGCTTACATGTTAATTTAGTTTTCACTGCCATAGCAGTCCTTCGGGGTCTGCTGAGGCCAGTCTGATTTTCTGCAAAAACACGGAACTCATATTCTGTAGCCTCTAGTAAACCTCCTACTGTAAACTGCCTGTCCTTGATGCGTTCTTTATTGCATTTTTTCCAGGTGCTTTCTCCAGACTGGCGATATTCAACCCAATAGCCAAGGATCTCTTTGCCACCATCACTTTCAGGTCGTTCCCATTCTAACGTAATGCTGTCCTTAAATATGGAATTGATCTCAATTTCTCCAGGTTGGCTTGGTTTATCTGAAAATTAAAATAGATACAGAAAATAAATTCCTCTCTAAATGTCATTAAGTTACTCTTCAGAAGATCTGTTAATGCAAACATTTTCTTACCAAATGGATCCTTGCATACAACTGGTTCAGAAGCAGGACTTGCTTCACTCTCACCAATGTCATTTTGAGCAATGATACGGAATTGATATTCAGCATCTGGAACAAGTCCTGTGACTGTGTACATTGTAGTGGTAATCTGTGTCTTATTATGCCGGACCCATTTTTCTGTAGATGTCTCTTTACGTTCAATGTAGTAGCCAGTTACACGAGAACCGCCGTCATCTTTAGGTCTGGACCACGACAAGTTGACAGAACTCTTTGTAACATCAAGCACTTCGGGTGGGTTGTTTGGAGGCTCTGGAGGATCTGTTAATAATTACAATAACAAAAATAATAGAAATAGTAGTGTCATAGCATTAAAACATTTGGATATACTATTGCACTTTTAGAACCATAATGTAGTAGTTAAAAATTATTTTTTTAAAAAATCTGAAAGGAGACTTACTTAGAGGTGTCTTTGGTACTGCTGGTTCTTCAGATTTGAGAGATTTGCTAATACCGAAATGGTTTTCAGCAGAAACACGGAAGTGATATTCCACATTTTCTTTGAGCCCTTTCACCACTAGTGATGTCCCTTTCACTCTAGAGTCAACAGTGTACCAGGCAGTCTTCGGTACTTCTCGTCTCTCAACAATATAACCTAGGATATCTGCACCACCATCATCTGTAGGAGGTCTCCAGCTTACTCTGACAGAACGAGCTTGTATATCATCATACTCAAGTGGCCCTTCTGGTGGATTTGGAATGCCAATCACTCTGACTTTAATATACACAGCTTTTTTACCACACTTGTTTTCAAGTGCCAAATCGTAGGTGCCTGAATCTTCTCTTTCTGCATCTTTGATCACAAGTTCTGTGTGAGTGTCAGAAGTTGCAATCATGGCCCTCTTGCTGATGTCATGTCCTTCTTTTGTCCATTTACATATTGGGATGGGCTTACCCTTAATGGGTATTGTAAGCCTGATAACTCCACCTTGTCTCACCATGAGACCTTCCTGGTATTTTTCATCAAGTTCGTAGTCAGGATATTCTGTAAACAAAATCAACATGTCATGCTATGTCTGTTTTACAGATGATATCATACCTGCTTTAGGCAAATACTTTTTTAGGACAACTTTCAATGAGAGTTAAGACTTGAAGTGTCTTACCAAGCATTTCTGTTATTTTGACTGTTCCTGGCACTTCAGCAGGTTCTCCTGCCCCACCAGCATTACAGGCTAGTACACGGAATCTGTACTCTGCACCCTGGGGGAGATGTGTCAAGGTGTATTCACGAATCTTGGTTGGCGTGGTATTGCATTTGGTCCATTCAAATTGATCAACCTTCTGCATCTCAATTAAGTAGCCAGTAACTTTAGAACCACCTTCATCTTCTGGTGGACTCCAAGCCAAGGAGACAGATGTTCTTGTAGTATCAGTGACTCTTGGATTCTGAGGTTTACCTGGAGGAGCTGGAAGAGAAGATCAGATGGGGGTGGATGGGATCTTTTTAATGAATATTTAAAAGATGTAACAAATGCTAACTTGCAACATATGATCTGTATTAAGTCTATAGGATTTATACAGGAAAACTTAGAATGAAAGATTTTCACTAATATTTTCTTGGCTTTCTCCAGTCAGAATCTCATTTGTTAATACACCCAGATAAATTTCCAAATTAGAAAAAAGAGCAAATTTTACTAGTATTGTTCCCTTCTGCCATGATGCGCTTAATCTATGTAGGAAATTACTTACCAATTGGATCTCTGGCGACAGCAGACTTGGAAGGACGGCTGGGTTTCCCAGTGCCTCTGGCATTGATTGCTGTGACTCGGTGTTCGTATTCTAATCCTTCAACCAACCCAGTGGAACGGTAACGAGTCATAGTGACTGGAACTTTATTTACACGGATCCATCTATCTGCTCTAATTTCTTTGCGTTCCACAATATAGCCAGTAATCTGTGAGTCACCATCATCTTCTGGAGGATACCAAGTTAATGTCATGCCATCTCGAGAGATATCAAACACTTCTGGAGTGCCAGGAGGACCAGGAATACCTGTAAAAACATAACACAGAATTAGTGAAGAAAGCGTCAAATGACATTAGTAACATGCAACATGACACATTAGTAACATGCAACATATTGTGAATGACAACGTAATATCAATGTCCTATCAAACTTTGATATCAGCAGATATCAAAGTACTTTACAAACCACGTCAGTGAAATACTCCTGTTTTTGTAATGGGGTAAAGCAATTTTTAAGGCTAATGATTGACCTGAGCAGAAAATCCAAGTTTACCATCTGTGGTTCTGTGCAGTGCATCTATAATACTTATACAGATTTATGGATGGCATTTTTCTCCGGAAATACAACAAGACTACTGTGCATCATAATGTACCATTTTATTTGGTGAAAGGAAGTATCTTATCTATGTGTGGATATATAAGCCCATTTAAATATCTATTTTTATTTTTAAAGGTAGAGAATAAGCAAATCTTATCTATGTGTGGATATATAAGCCCATTTAAATACATATTTTTTTTTTTTAAAGGTAGAGAATAAGCAAAAATTCAGACTTACGGATTCTGCTCTTGCATTCTATAATTTCAGACTGCAGGTAAGATCCGATTCCAAACCGGTTTGTAGCAGCCACACGGAACACGTATTCTGCACCTTCAACAAGTCTGGTGAACTTAAACATTGTCCTGGTTACTGACTCTGAAACTGGCAGCCATCCAGGACGGTGAGCATCACGCTGTTCTACCACATAGCCGCTAAGGGTAGCTCCACCATCCAGCTCAGGTGGCTCCCAGGAGATGGTTACAAAATTTGAATCAATTTCATCAATTCGGATGGGTCCAACAGGTGGTCCAGGTTTGTCTAGCAAAAAAAGAAAATTAAAAGACAAAAAAAAAAAGTGGAGAAAAAGAATCATATTGCTGATGTAACAAAGTTCAGATGGAGAAAGATCATGGACGGTTATTTTCATAAATCCTTACCAAGGATTATAACCTTTATTGTGTCAGTAACTGTTCCAGTTGTGTTCTTCAGTTCAAGCGTATACTCTCCAGTGTCATGTATGGTGGTCTCACGCACAGTTAATTTAGCCATTTTGGCAACAGTCTCCATTTTGATGCGTTCTGATTCTTTTAATTTGGAGCCAGCAAAGAACCAAGATGCAGCTGGAGGTGGTCGTCCTTCAATTGGAATAGCTAACTCAATGGGCTTGCCAGCAGGTACATGAATTGTCTTCTGAGGTATTCCAGTGAAGTCAATTGTTGGTAGAACTAAGAAAAGCAAATCATTGATATTTTAAATATCCATTTTATAAGTATCATGTTCATTTGGTGTAAGCTTCACCTTATTGTTTTTAACAGTAGATACCTACCTTTTTGGTCTTGTACTGTCACTGCTGTGACAATCTCTCGTGGTTCTGACACACCCTTCTGATTCTGTGCTCTGACCCTGAACAAGTACTGTTCACCTTCATTGAGAGAGATAATTGTGTGCTCGTAGACGGTAGGCTTCAGTGTCACTACCTTCAACCATCTTTCTGTTCCAGCTTTGCTGGCCTCAATAACATAGCCAGTCAATCTGCTGCCACCATCATGTGGTGGTTTCTCCCACGCAAGAGTAACAGTTGATTTAGTGGTGTCAATCACTTCGAGTTTTTGTGGTACCATGGGAACATCAGATACTAGTACTGCATCAGACGTTTCACAAGCTTCACCAATGCCGTAAATATTTTCTGGTAGTACTCTGAAATAATACAAAGCTCCTTCTAGAAGTCCAGTAACTCTATAAAATGTCTTGCTGCATTTGGTAGTGACAGTCTTGTAAGCTCTCATGGAAGCTTCACGTTTCTCAATTATATAATTGTTGACTGGGGCTCCACCATCAATGGTTGGAATATCCCAAGTAAGTGTCACAGAATCTTTTGATACTTCCTTAATTCTCACTGCAGCTGGTGGACCAGGTGTATCTAAAACAAAAAAAAAAAAAATTTTTTTTTTTCCTTTTGGATCATTTCCTTTTACAGTCAATGACTGATTCTGCATAAAAAAACAACGCTGGGTTTTGATTTATAAACTAGCACAGCTTTAGAAACTATGTATTTTCCTTTGGATTAGATTGTTTCTCTGACTTCCCAAACATTCTCATGTTATTTAAACTGCAGACTTCCTTTGGAAATGAATGACTTTCTTGTTCCTGAGCAACGTGCACTATGAGTGATGTAATGCCCATATACAATTGTAGCAGTACTTACCATACACTTTTACAGAAATAGTTGCAGATTTTTTTCCTGATTGATTTTCAGCCTCAATGACGTATTTTCCAGCGTCATACCGATTAACTTTATCCACAATAAGCAGAGTGTAGCTGTCTGTAGTATCAATAATAGCTCGACTTACAAGGTCAACACCCTGCTTGCTCCATGTGATTATGGGAGCAGGTCTGCCAGATACAGAGACCATTAGGCGCAGGGAACCACCAGCTCTGACTGTAACTGTCTTCTTCAGATCATCAGCAAGCTCAAGCTCAGGTATTTCTGATGAGGGGTATAAGAAACATGGAATTAATTAATCTTTTAGTAGTTCTAAAGGAAAATATAATTATTCCTTAAAATATACATTAAGTCTTCAAATTACCTATTCTTTCCACGGGTTCTATTTCTGCTGATGATTCACTAAATTCACTCATACCATTCACATTTGTAGCAGCAACTCTGAATTGGTATTTCTGGGTTGTTTTAAGACCGGTCACAGTGAACTCAGCATTCCTCAGAGTGGCAGTTGTATGTGGTCGATACCACTGTTCAGTACCTTCTTCTTTCATTTCAAGAACATAGCCTAAGATGTCAGCACCACCGTCATATGTGGGCTTTGACCATGCTAAACTTATGCTGTGCTTAGTAGTATCCACAACTCTTGGAGCTGAAGGTGGTGCGGGAGTATCTTTGAAAAAGAAGAAAGCGCATTTCACAATGGTGCAGGAAACATTTTACAGTTAAAAACAATTTCTAAACAGCTAATGCCAGGAAATGCATTTAAAATAAACTATAACTATTTTTAAGTTTATTCTAATTCAGAGAGATCATATGTGGTTTTGGGTGTCTTAGTTGAAGTGTCAATGCGGGTTTATGCTCCATTATTGTAAGTAAATATTAAAGTAGGTTTTAAATGTGGCAACTTACATGATGGTTCTTTACATAACATGTATTGTGAAGCCTCACTAGGCTCACTGTTCCCAGCAGCATTCACTGCAGTGACACGGAACTGGTACTGGCTGCCTTCCATGAGACCAGTGACTTTCAGTCTGGTATCATAAACAGTGTAATCTCTGTTCACTCGTGTCCAGCGCAGACTTTTCCTTTCGCGTTTGTCCACAAGATAGTCCTTAATCTCACTGCCACCATCTGATTCTGGTTTTGTCCACTGAATAATGATATGTTCCTTGCTGACACTCACTTCTTCAGGAGCACCAGGCTGTGTTGGGATAGCTGTTTTTTTTTTTAAAAGGTGAAAAAAAAATTTATTATTTAACAATTGTTTATCTATGAGAAATATTCCACAAATTCTGATGCAGAATGGAAGGTAGTAACACTCACTGAAAGCATTCCTGGCAATCACAGGTTCTGTTTCAAGTGGAACACCTGGTCCATATTTGTTGACAGCTCTCACACGGAAGATGTATTCGTTATTTTTAATAAGTTTTGTTACCACACAGGATAAAGTCTGGCATTCAGCCTCGACAATAACCCAGTGAAGTCTGCTGGTTTCACGCCTTTCTACGATATAATGAGTGATTTGTGCACCTCCATCTTCCTCAGGAATGTTCCATGCCAGAGTACATTTCTCTTCTGTCACTCTGCTAACAGTGATTTTGCCTGTGCATGGACCTGGTGAGTCTGGGTAAAGACGAAAATAAGTGTTGTTATTAGCAGCTAAGGAAAAGCGTCTCACTCTTATTTAAAAGTGTGTAGGTTTTTTTAGTATACTAAGTATGAATAATAATCATGGGATACATACCAAGCACTTTGACAAGAACAGAAATTTGTTTCATCCCACTGGCATTTTTAACTGTTAGAGTGTATTTTCCACTATCGCTTCTGTCACAGAACTTGATAATTGCAATGGCTCGTTTGCTGGTGTATTGCAGAGATATCTTTTCACATAGGTCCAATTCCCTGTCACCTTTGGACCAGAAGACTTTTGGTTCTGGTTTCCCACCAATGGCCGCATCGAGAACAAGATCCGATCCAGCCCTAATGGTCACAACTTCTCCCTGCAGTCTGGCATCGAGTTCAGCCTTTGGTGGTGCTGTCGTTAGGAAAAAGAGATTAAAAACAAATTACGTGACAGTACTAAAAATAGAACATTATGTTTTTAATTGTTCCAAGTGAATATTTCTTACAGTATTCATCTTTGCAAATGACGGCACCAGTCGATTCAGATCCTTTGCTAATCACACCAGCAGCATTCTTTGCTAGTACACGGAACTCGTATGCTTCATCTTCACCAAGAGCTGTCACAGTAAAAAAGTTTTCTGAGACAATGGTATAATTGCATTTCAGCCAGCGTCCATCACCAGATTCGTTATATGGTTTGCGCTCTATAATATATCCGATAATTTTGCTTCCACCATCATAAAGGGGTGCTGACCAGCTCAGCGACACTGTAGATCTGGTGACATCTGTTACTTCTGGTCTTCCTGGTGGATCTGGAGGAATAAAACAGAAAAATGAGAAATGCAATTCTATTTTAGCTTAAATAACAACATAACTCTAAAAGAAATACTTGCCAACTGGATTTTGAGCCACTACAGGTCTGGAAGCTTCGCTAGCTTTGCTAACACCTGCAGCATTTAGAGCATAGGTTCTGAACTGGTATTCTAGGCCTTCCACCAATCCCGTGACTTTGTAGTTGCATTCACAGCATGGCACTTTGTTTTCCTTCACCCAAAGGATGGTGTTGCGCTCCTTCTTTTCAACCCAATATCCAATGACTTTGCTGCCACCGTCATGATAGGGTTCTTCCCAGCGAATGGCCATGGCAGTTGCAGACACAGAATAGACTTCTGGCCTTGAAGGTGGGCTTGGTGGGACTGAACACAAAAAAGATGGGGAGGAAAATGTTAGTTATTACGAATACCTCAGTCAGAGGAAAAGAACACATTTTGAAAAGTGTTTCACTTACCGAATGGATGCTCAGCAACTATTGTTTTTGATTCAAGGGGTTTGCTGACACCAAATCTGTTTTCTGAGCTTACTCGGAAACTGTACTCCTGGTATTTTGTGAGATGAGTGACTTTGATCTGTGTACGTTTCACACTGGAATTTACCAGCTGCCATGCTGTTGTGCCAGATTCACGTTTCTCTACAATGTAGTTCGTAATGTCACTGCCACCGTCATCTTCTGGTTCTTTCCAGGTCAACACACAGGATTCAGCAGAGACAGATGATATTTCAATTGGGCCAGTGACAGGACCTGGCCTTCCTATGACTACCACTGTGACAGTAAATGTTTTCACACCAGCAGTGTTTTCAAGTGTGAGGTAGTATTTTCCAGAGTCACCTCTCATACTGTCCTTTACAGTCAGTGTGGTTCTGTCTTTTGTTGTCTTGATGGTCACTCTTTCAGTTTCCTTCAGCCTCATCTCCTCAAGTTTCCATGTCACTTTTGGAGCTGGGCGCCCACTGATTGGTATATCAATAGTAAAGGTGCTTCCAGCCTTGCATGTTATGAGCTGTCTGCTTATTTCGCTGAGATCCGCTGTTGGTTCAATCTGTGGCTCCTTAATAATAACAGAAGAGAAAGCTTCTCTCGGCTCACTGTAGCCAGCATCATTCTTTGCCTTGACCCGGAACTCATATTCAGTGTTCTCCACAAGGCCTTCAACAGTGAAAGTAAGTTGTTTGGTTTGTCCAGCTTCAATCCAGGAGTCAGATCCTTTTTGTTTCATTTCAAGAAGGTATCCAGTAACACGGCTACCACCATCATGATCAGGTTTAAGCCAAGCTAAGACTACAGAAGATTTCGTTGTGTCAACAATATCTAGTCTCTTAGGTGGAGCAGGTTCTTCCGTGGCTACAACTGGTTCTGTTAATTCACAAGGTTCACCTACACCATATTCATTTTCTGCTGACACTCGGTAGTAATACGGCACACCTTCTGCCAGATCGGTGACCTTAAAGATTTGTCGAGTGCATTTTGAACTCACCACTTGCCAGCTACGACGGCTTGCTTCCCGTTTTTCCACAATGTAGTGATGGATACGTGAACCTCCATCCAGAACAGGAGCATCCCACATTAAAGTAATAGACCCTCGAGTCACATCTTTAAATGTAATAGGACCTGGTGGTCCAGGTGTGTCTAAAACCTTGACAGTAAATGTGATAGACTTACTTCCACTGTTGTTTTCCACAGTAAAGACATACTTGCCAGCATCATTTCTGTTGCATTCCTCCACAGTCAATGTGCTGAATGAATCAGTTGTTTGAATGTCAGCACGCAAGCTAAGATTAGCATCTGCTTTGGACCACACAGCAGTAGGAACAGGTCTTCCAGAGAAGGCAATAAAGAGACGAATGCTTGCACCTGCTCTTACAATATGAGTCTGCTTGAAGTTTGCATCGATATCAATTTCAGGTGCGGAAAGCCTGTCCACAGTTTGGACTGAAGCAGGAACTTCACAACTTTCTCCCTTGCCAGCACCATTGACAGCACTAACTCTGAATTTATAATGTTCTCCTGCCTCCAAATCAACAACGGTATATTTAGTAGCAAGAACAGTCTCTGCATTGACTTTCTGCCATGCTTCGAGATCAGCTTTGCACATTTCAATGATGTACCCAATTATTTCCATGCCTCCATCAAAAACTGGCTTGGTCCACTCTAAGCTTACACTAGTCTTCGATGTATCTGTTACCTTTACAACATTAGGTGCACTTGGTGGGCTGACTGGTTCTCTACATTTAATCAGCTTTGAAACATCACTTGGAGGTCCAACTCCTGCAGCGTTTTCAGCCATGACATGGAATTCATACTCATTGCCTTCAATAAGGCCAGTTACTCTGTATCTGTTCTCAGTAATGGGCCTCTTACTGGATACTTTAACCCAGCGCATGCTCTTCTTTTCTCTCCTTTCTAAAATATACTCATTTATCTCACTTCCGCCATCTGATTTTGGTCTTGCCCATGTGAGCGTGATACTGTCTCCTGTTACATTGGTAGGCTCTGGAGTTCCTGGTGCATCAGGGAGAGCTAAAGAAAGAAAAACGTCATTAGAAAAACAAGATGGTAACTCCACAGTTATCTCTACAGAATGAGGTGGAAACTTACTGTAAGGTATTTGTGCGGTAACTGGATCAGACTCCAATGGTCTGCCAACTCCAAATTTGTTCACTGCAGAGACACGGAACTGGTACTCATTGCCCTTAATTAATTTAAGTGCAGTGTAGCTGCAAGCTTCACATTTATCTTCAACTAATGCCCAAGCAATCCTGCTGGTTTCACGTTTTTCAATTATGTAGTGGGAGATAGATGCACACCCATCATTAGCCGGAGGCTCCCACCATAATGTGACTTTTTCTCCAGTAACGCTTGTGAATCGTATTGGTCCACCAACTTTTCCTGGTGTATCTGCAATTTTAAAGGTTCAGAATTATAATTTGCTGGCACTTAGAATAAAATACTATTTTAAAAGAGCATGCTGAAAGTGTTTGGTGCAGTACCTTGTACTCTGAAGGTAATATCTTCTCGTTTAGTGCCTGATGCATTTTTGGCTTCTACTGTGTACACTCCACGATGATCCCGGGTAGCATCTCTAATGAAGATTGTACTATATCCAATAGCTGTAGTTATTTCTATATTCATTATTTTCTCAATCTCCTTACCATCCTTAAACCATGTCACTTTAGGTACTGGACGTCCTTTGATCAGAGCTTTAAGTCTAATGCTCTCTCCAGCTTTAACAGTAAGGCCTTCAAAGTGCTCAGGGCCAAATTCAATTGTTGGAGCAACTAAAAAAGGAAAATATAATTCAATTCCCATGTAGCTAAATATTTTTTCCTGATACTCTTTTTAATGTACTAATTATAAAAGACTGTTATATATAGAATTCTTTCACTCAGAAAATGGCATTCTCTAAAAAGCAGTTATTATAAGAACACTATAAACTTGCTTTTCCTGTAAGCACACAGTGCATCATATTAACAATAGGTGAAAGACACCATTAATATGTGCTGTTACAGTACACCAAGCTACCCGAGGCACATTTTCTTTTCTAAATTATTCAGTGCATCAGAATATTATAGTTTATGATTTATTTCCAACTTTGCTGCTGCTGTTTATCCAACAAAAATGTAGAGTGCCGTGCCTTTCAGCAATTGATTACGTGTGTCTGCCAGATTTGGGTCTGTAAATTTAGACCCTCCCACCCTGGAGTACAAACAGAAATGTTCTGAGTTGACTGGACGGACCTCAGTCACATGTTCTTCCCCCCATGGCCTCCCATTTCCAATCAGTACAACCAGAAGCTCTAGCTGGCTTCAGTACCCCAATACAAGCATATTAAGAAATAATTCTTACTGTTTTCATCTCTGGTCATGATATAGCCTGAAGACTGTGAAGGCGGGCTGATTGTACCAACAGCGTTTCTTGCAAGCACTCTGAATTCATATCGGTCACCTGAACTGAGTCCTGTAACTGTATATTGGCATTCACTGACATCAGTAAAGTTACATCTGAGCCAACGGTCTTCACTTCCTTGTCGTTTCTCAATGCTGTAGGCCACAATCTTACTGCCTCCATCACGCAGTGGGGGGGTCCACTTAAGGGTGACTGTTTCCCGGGTGACATCAATGTAATCAGGAGTACCAGGTGGGTCTGAAAGGAAAATAATTAAAATTTATTTTTATTACTGCTCACCATAGTCTACAAGACTAGAATTTTCTTGGATGAGTAATTGATCATTCACTCACCCACTGGAGAGACTGCCAAAGTAAATTTGCTTGGCTCACTAGCTCGGCTTAAACCTGCAGTGTTTTCAGCGTATACTTGGAACTGGTAATCCAGGCCCTCAAGCAATCCGGTAATCCTGTATTCTCTGCTAGATATTAATGCAACATTAACCTTCTGCCACAAAATACTGTTTCTTTCCTTCTTTTCAACGTGGTATCCAATAATCTCTGAACCACCATCATAAACGGGAGCATCCCAAGATATGGTCATTCCATCAGCGGTTATGTTGTATACAACAGGCTTGCCCGGGGCACCTGGTGGTCTAAACTGATGCTTTGCCACAACATCTGCTGAGACAAGAGGTGGGCTCACTCCGTATCTGTTTTCTGCACGAACTCTAAACTGATATTCAGTGTCTTTAACAAGGTTTGGTACTTTGAAAGTTGTTCTTGCAGCACTCGAACATACCAGCTTCCAGTTAATTTGTGAAGTTTCTCTCTTCTCAATACTGTAGCCAGTAATTTCTCCTCCCCCATCATCTTCAGGAGCTTCCCATGACAAAACTACACTATCTGCTTTGATTTCATCTAGTCTTAAAGGTCCTTTTGGCTTAGATGGAGGGCCAAGAGTGATGACAGTGATTGTGAATGTTTTTCTGCAGACTACATTATCAAGAATTAAAGTATATTTGCCACCATGCTCCTTTTTCGCATTCTTGATGCTTAAGCTTATCTTGTTTTCAGTCTTCTTGAAACGAAGTTGTTCAGTTTCTTTAAGAGGGAGGTTGTCCTTGAGCCAGCTCATCGATGGCTTAGGTTTACCTTTATAGGGCAATTCAATGTGCAGGTTATGTCCAATTCTTACTGCAATTTGACCTCCAGGAATATCAGAAAGGTCAGCTTCAGGTGTTATTATATGTTCTTTCACTGTAATGGGCCCAATAGTAACACCGTCACTCATGCCTTTTTCATTTTTAGCAAAGACTCTGAATTCCATGACAGAAAGCTCTTTAAGTTTTTCAACTTCAAATTCACAGCTCTTGCTTGTGCCTGCATATGTCCATTCTTTTTCTTCCTGCAGTTTCTTTTCAATAACATAGTCCGATATAATGCTACCACCATCATAGTCAGGTTTGCTCCACTGCAATTTAACAGAAGTCTTTGTAGAATCTTTCATGGCTAGGTCTTTTACAGGTGCAGGTATGTCTGCAGCTTTCACTGGTTCTGATGTCTCACAAGGTTCACCCAGTCCAATTTCATTTTCAGCAAGAACACGGAAGAAGAATGCAGTCTTCTCTGACAGGTTAGTTAGCTTAAAGGTGGTATGAGAACACTTTGTTGTTACAGTTGACCAGGCCCTCTTTGTAGCGTCTCTTTTTTCAACAACATAATTTGTTATTTCAGAACCACCGTTAATGAGTGGTGGCTCCCATACCAGTGTAACTGTGCCACGAGAAACATGCTTAAGCTGCAGCTTCTGGCAGGCAGATGGCGTGTCAAGCACTTTTACATTCACAAATGATGATTTCGCTTCTCCAACTCCATTTTCAATTGTAAGAACATATTTTCCTGTATCATTTCTGGTAACTTGAGGAATAGTAAGTAGTGTAGATGATTCTGTGTTCTGGATGATATATCTTTCATCAGTCCCAAGATTCCTGTCACCCTTTCTCCATGTGACTGTTGGAGGAGGTCTTCCTTTGAATGGAATCATTATTTGCACATCTTCACCTGCTTTAGTAACAATAGAGGTCCGGAGAGCAACATCCAGATCAATCTCTGGTGCCACTGTGGAAATAAGTAAAAATTAGTAGTGCATACTTGGAACGTAAAATAAGAAATGCCTTGAAAAAACCCCAAAACATAGAAAAATGATAAATCACTGAAAAGTACAGTACCAAGAATGTCTTTAGCTTGAACGGGTTCCGTCATTTCAATAGGCTCTCCTTGTCCAGCACAATTTATAGCAGACACACGGAAATAATAATTAACACTTGGCTGAAGGTGGGATACAACATACTCAGTTGTTCTCACTTCTCCCTTAGTACTGACTACAGTCCATTCTTGCTCTTCACCTTCCCTTTTCTCCACCACATAGTTGGTAATTGGACTTCCTCCATCATAAGCAGGTTTAATCCAGCCAAGTGTGACAGATGTCTTGGTTGTATCCACAACCTTCAACTTTGTTGGTGAGCCTGGTTTATCTGTAAATGATAGTTTACAGGGGGAAAAAAAAAATCAGAAGCCATATCTACAATTGATCATAAAGAGGAATCAAATCTGCCCTCAGTTACATTGGTGTAATCCCATCCTAATTGCTCATTGTCTGTTGATTTCTAACCAGTTAGAAATACTGCACATAGTATCTTACCAACAGGATCTGCGGCTTTGTAGAAGTCAGAAGCTTCAGAGAATGGACCTTGTCCAGCTGCATTGACAGCACAAACTCGGAAATGATATTCGCTGTTTTCAGTCAAACCTGTTACTTTCTGTCTGGTGTCCCGAATGGTTTCTTTAGTAACCTTGAACCAACTCAGACTCTTCTTGTCACGCTTCTCAAGAAAATATCCTGATATTTCACTGCCTCCATCAACAGTGGGCCTATTCCAGACAACGGTCATAGAATTCCTGGTTATCATTGTAACTTCTGGTACACTAGGTGGTCCAGGTGTAACTGAGTAAAAAAAAATATATGTCAGTAGATCAGTACTAGTTACAAATAATATTCAAGATGATTCAGTTGCATAAGTTATTTTATATGTTTCTTACCAAATGAATTTTTGGCTATAACGGGTTCAGACTCCAGTGGGTCACCAACTCCAAACTTGTTCACACCACGAACACGGAACATATACTCATTTCCTTTGATGAGTTTTGTTGTAGTTATGATACACCCCTCCAGTTTTTCAGAAATTAAAGACCATACAACCCGACTTGTCTCCCGCTTTTCAACAACATAGTGTGTTACAGGTGCACCACCATCATCTGCTGGTGGGTCCCACATTATTGTAATCTTTTCAGCAGTGACTGTCTTAAACTGTATAGGCCCACTTGGGGGTCCTGGCTTGTCTGTGGAAGGCAGAAGAAAGAAGATGTTAAGTATTTATTACTGAATTATTGTTTAATAGTATAATACAGTCATATCTCAAGACATACCAAGTATCTGTACTCTAACATGGGCTGATGCTGAACCCATGGCATTCTTCAGTTTTAATTCGTAGGTGCCACTGTTGAGTCGAGTTGCATCCTTGATGAGTATAGAAGCAAATTCTGTTGTGTTTTCAATAGACACTAGTGCACTGGTTTGTACCTCGTTGCCATTTTTGAACCATTCAATTGTGGGTATAGGCTTGCCTGAGATGCCTAGTTTTAGCTTAACTGAAGTTCCTGCTTTATATTTCACCACTTCTGTATATTCTGGTGGTACATCGATTTCAGGTGCACCTTAAGAAAAAATAAGAGTAAGAAAAAGTTAAAAACATGCTTATTTTAGACTTGTATTTAATAAAAACAAAAATAATAGTACTTCATTTAAGTAATAGTTACACACATTTTATAAATACAGAACAAAGTAAAGATAACATGTGTAACTTAAATCATAAACCTAGAACAAATTAGAACTAATCCTACCAAGAAAAGGCAACCACATGTATAAATATAACCGCTTTGGCCATGGGGCATGGGCAGACTTCTGTTGCTCAAAGAATAAAGATACCGTAAGACTTCAAAAATGCAGATACAGCCAAAGATGTTCATTACAATCATGCCCAAATAGCTCACAGTCGTTCAAGCTTATTGAATCAATCACTGTACACTAGCCCTCCATATTTAAAAGACTATGGTTCTACAAAATAGCAGTACCACAAAATCATACCGTTGTATCATTGCAAAACACTTACCGTATGTATCAACACATGTGATAGGACCCACAACATCTGAGGGATTACTAATGGAACCAATGGCATTCTTAGCAAAGACCCGGAATTCGTACCGGGAATTCTGTGTCAGACCAGATACTGTGAACTGAGTCTCAATAACATTGGTGAAGCTAGCTTTTGTCCATCTGCCATCTGGAAGATCACGTTTTTCTACGATGTATCCGGTGATCTTGCTACCACCATCAAATGCTGGCTTCTGCCACGACAGAGTGATAGCAGTCTTGGAAATATCTGAGACACGAACGTTTCTTGGTGGTTCTGCAGTAGGAAACATAAAAGTATTGCTAATTATTAACGGCTGTTTTGGATATCGGCTTACTGTACAGGACAGAATATCACGGGGGGGAGTGGGGGGGTAGCACTACTTAAATGGTTGGGCGTCTTTATTTTCTAGGGAATACATACCACAAGCATCAATTGCAAGGACTGGATCAGAAGGATGACTTGCTTTTCCAATGCCAGCTGCATTTTCTGCATAAACTCTAAATTCATAGATAAGGCCAGCGCTGATGGTGGTGACTTTGTAGTGAGTTGTGCGAATGAGGGTCTTGTTAGCCTTCTGCCATAATATGCTATTCCTGTCTTTCATTTCCAGGTGGTATCCAATGACTGCACTGCCACCATTAGTGACTGGTTCATGCCATCCAACAGTAATACTCTCTCGGGTGACATTCGTGACCCACGGTGTGGAAGGAGGGCCAGGGGTAGCTGATAATATCAAAAGAAGTGATTAATTGTTAACAAAATTATATTTTCAACATCAGAGCACTAAAAGATCGACCTATAGCATGAGAAGCATATTACTCACTGTAAGGAAGCTTGACAACCACACATTGTGAGTCTATGTGATCGCTGATGCCAAAGCGGTTCTCAGCTTTGATGCGGAATTGGTATTCTTCTCCTGTTGTGAGCTTCGTAACTTTGATAACAGTTCTAGCAACCGTTGCAGACACTTCAGACCAAGCAGCAGTACTTGTTTCTCTTTTCAGTACAATATAGTTGGTAACTTGACTTCCACCATCATAAGCTGGTGGCTGCCATCTGAGTGTTACACTCTCTTCAGTGATATCGCTGAGGACAACTGGACCAACAGGAGGACTTGGTCTGTCCAGCACAACAACATTAACAAATGATTTTGTGGTGCCACTTGAGTTGGCAGCAGTAATGTCATATCTGCCAGCATCAGCAGCCACACTTTCTTTAAGGTTAATGATGAGACTTTCTGCAGTGGCTTCTGTGTGAAATCTCATGGTAGGTTTCAGTGGAACACCATCTCTAGACAACGTCACCTTTGGCACTGGTTTTCCAGAAACTGGAATTTCAACTTTCAGGTTTGATCCTGCTCGAATATATACAGTGTTATGAGGGAAGCCCTTCATGTCAATCTCAGGAGATTCTGAAAAAGACAACATTTTCAAACCATTAAAAAATGTTCTCTCTTTTAAAATATGAATCCAATTTAATGTGTATGAACTTTTGTCTCATGTCAGGAAGCATACCTAATTGTTCTTTAACTGTAACAGGGAGCAGTAGTTCCTTAGGATCGCTTAAACCAGCTTGGTTTTCCGCAGACACCCTGAAGAAATAGTCAACATTCTCCTTAAGACCATGGACAACATGATGAGTTGTCTTTGCAACTGCACATTTAACCCATTTTTGCTGTCCTTTCTCAAGAGCTTCAATGAGGTAGCTCACAATTCTGCTTCCACCATCATGTTCTGGTTTTAGCCATGAAAGAGAAACACTGTCCTTTGTGACATTTGTTACTCCAAGTTTTTCTGGTGGGCTGGGTTTTTCTGAGGAAAAAAGTGCAACAGGTTAAACAATGTAGCAAGTATTTACTTTTTATATTAGCAGTTACAATGCCATCTGGATTGAAAAAAAATGTTTTTAAAAGAATTTGTATATTAGAAATATGTTAAGTAAAATGCAAAGTAAAATTTTAAGTAAAATTTAAAATTCAAGCTATTACTTAGCTCTTTTTCATTTGTAAAACCACAGACATACCTACCACAAAATGATCTTTTTTACTGTAAACAGATTTAACACTTTATATTATTTTGAAGTAAACATTTTAAAACACATATTGTTTTAAATATTAAGAAATATTTTTCTTAGAAAAACACACCTGTTATTTGTGTTCCTTCCTTGGTCTCAGAAGGTACTCCAACACCGTATTCATTTTCTCCAGAAACCCGGAAGTAGTAAATGGCACCTTCTTGCAAGCCAGTCACTTTGTAGGACAGGCGATGGCAATTGTTTGTCACAGTGACCCATGCTTTTTTGCTGGCTTCTCGTTTTTCAATAACATAGTTTTTCACAGGTGCTCCACCATCATTTTCAGGAACATCCCAAGATAACACAGCAGATTCTTTAGTTACGTCTTTTGCTGCAATATTAGATGGTGGGCCAGGAGTATCAAGAACTTTGACTATTAAAGTCAAGGTAGCGGTGTTCAGGATGTTTTGCAACGTTAATGCGTATTTTCCAGAATCGTTTCTTGTTGCTTTTTCAATAGTAAGAGATGTGCAATTATCTGAAGTATCAATGCTTGCTCGTGTACGGAGATCAGAGTCTGGTTTGTTCCACATTACATTTGGGACTGGTTTGCCTCTGAAAGGAACAGTCATTGTGAACGATCCACCAGCCTTTACAATTAGTGTCTTCCGCATTTCACTGTCAATATCAAAGGCAGGTTCTTCTTCTCTTTCTTTTGCCACCTGAGGTTCTGAGACATCACTTGGTTCGCTGACACCAATTTTGTTAATGGATTTCACTCTAAAGATGTATTCAGAGCCTGATACTAATCCAGTTATGGTGTATTCTGTGCCTTTTAAGTTCTGAATAGCAGTTGTCCAGTCAGTTTCATCAGTTTTCTTGTATTCAACTGTGTATCCTGTTACTGGAGAACCTCCATCAAACAGTGGCTTTGTCCACCCAATTATGATATTTGACCTTGTAAAATCCATAATCTTAGGTTTAGATGGGGGAGATGGCAAGAAGATTGGATCTTCTGCCCGAATTAATGGTGTGGTTTCACTTGGAAGACTGAGGCCAGCAGCATTTTCTGCATAAACCCGGAATTCATATTCACATCCTTCACGGAGACCAGATGATTTCACTCTTAAATCATAAACTGGCTTTTTGTTTACACGAATCCATCTTAGGCTAGTTTTCTCACGCCTTTCAATTACATAGCCAGAGATTTCATTGCCTCCATCAGACTCAGGTCTTGCCCAGCACAGAGTTATCGAATCTTTGCTCACACTGGTGATCTCTAAAGATGTAGGCGGACTTGGAACTGTAAATGGGTCTAGGGCTTTGACAGCAACACTTTCTAGAGGCTCGCCAACGCCGTATTTGTTAACTCCCATCACTCTGAAAATATACTCATTGCCCTTCAGTAGTTTTGTCACTTTACAGGATGTTGTTCTAAGCTCTCCTTCACAAAGTGTCCATGCAATTCTGCTGGTCTCACGTTTTTCTACAATATAATAATCAATATCTGCACCGCCATTTTCTTGAGGGGGTCCCCATGATAAATGGCACTTTTCAGCAGTAAGGCCATTTATTTCTAATGGGCCTGCAGGTGGGCCGGGTCTATCAAGTACTTTGCAATTAATTGCCAAAGATCTTGTTCCTGCAACATTTTGTAATGTTAGTACATACTGTCCTGAATCACCACGGATACAGTCCTTAATGGTTATTGCAGTAGTGTGATCTGTTGAGGCTATTTCAACTCTAGCTTTTCCTTCAAGCTCCCTACCATCCTTTGTCCATGAAATCACTGGTATTGGCCGTCCTGCAATATCAGCACTGACTTTAAACACTTCTCCAGCTTTCACAACTACAACATCCCTGAATTTGGCATCCATCATAATTCTTGGAGCTTCTACATCATCTTTTACAGTCACAGGTCCAGTTGATTCAGATGGCTGACTGAAGAGTCCAGCAGCGTTCTTTGCAATCACATGGAATTCATATCGCTGGTCTTCTGTAAGTCCGCCTACGTCAAAGTATGTTTCTTGCACATTAGTAAAATTACACTTTAGCCAACGACCATCTGGTATCTCTCTGCGTTCAATAATATATCCTGTTACTTTAGCTCCACCATCATATTCTGGTTTAGTCCATTTCAGTGAGACACATGTTCTTGTAATATTAGTAACTTCTGGTTGACCAGGAGGATCACATGGATCTCTTGCAGCAACTGGTTCACATGATTTACTGCATTTGCCTATTCCAGCAATGTTTTCAGCATACACACGATATTCATATAGCAGTCCTTCATCGAGACCTGTAACTTTCATTTGTGTATCAGGTATAAGGCTCTTGTTGACTTTTGTCCAAAGAATGCTGCTTCTTTCTTTACGCTCCAAGTGATATCCTAGTACTCTGCTACCTCCATCATTAACTGGTACCTGCCAGGTTACAATCATGAAAGCTTTAGTTGCATGTGCCACATGAGGAGTTCCAGGTGGTCCCGGAGGCTTAAATGGGTACTCTGCCACAACAGAAGGAGAATTAATATAAGTGCTTTTCCCGTAGCGGTTTTCTGCACAAATACGGAACTGATATTCAGAGCCAGTGGTGAGTCGAGATACTTTAATTGATGTTCTTGCAACTGCTGCAGATACTACATCCCACGTTGTTGTGGTAGTTTCTCGCTTCTCCACAATGTAATTGCTAATATGGCACCCACCATCATATGCTGGAGGTTTCCAAGACAGAGTTACACTATCAGCGCTAACTTCATCTATATGCACATCAGTTGGTGGTCCTGGTCTGTCAAGGACAACTACAGTTAAAGAAGCTGTTGTTGATCCGGCAGTATTTGAAAGATGTAACTCATAATGTCCCAAATCTTCATTTGAAGCTTCCTTGATGGACAGTGAAGTTGAAGTCTTTGATGTCTGAACATTTACCCTCGTTGTCTCTTTTAAGGGATTCCCATCCTTCTCCCAGCTAACAGCTGGAAGAGGTCGCCCTCTGAATGGCACATCAATCTTAAGATCATCTCCAGCTTTCACAGTGAATGTGTTGAAAAGGAGCTCAGCAGATGGCTGGATTTCAATATCTTTTGCAATGACTGGGACACCAAGTTCTCTTGGATCACTTTTTCCTTTTTCATTAACAGCAATCACTCTGAAACTGTACTCTTCTCCCATACTTAAGCCTGTTATTGTTGCTTCTAATGTTTTCACCTGTGTACATGCACTCCATTTTATACTTCCTTTAGTTTGCATTTCTACTATATAACCAGTAATTTTACTGCCACCATCGCTCTCTGGCTTTTCCCATTTAATTGAAGCAGAGTTGCGAGTCACGTCAATAAGAACGACCTTTGCAGGTGGAGAAGGTGGTTCAGAAACCTTAATCGGGTCAGGTGTTTCTGCTGGCAAGCCAACCCCATATTCATTTACAGCTAGAACACGGAAGTAATAACTACATCCTTCTTGTAGTTGAGTAATTTTGAAGGAATTCTTAGAGCAGTTGTTTGTAATTGTGGCATATGCCTTTCTTGTGGATTCTCGCTTTTCAACTACATAGTTGGTAATTTTAGCTCCACCGTCAATAAGCGGCGGTTCCCAGGCTAATGTTACAAAGTCTTTCTTCACTTCTCTGATTGTCAGGTTTGTAGGTGCACTAGGTGTATCAAGCACTCTGACATTAACAAAAGCTGATTTTTTGCCACTGTTGTTCTCTAAAGTAAGATTGTATCTACCACTATCAAATCTATTCACATTGTCAATGACCAGCATTGTATAGGAACTAGTGACTTCAATCTGAGCTCGCTCACTAATTGTTCCTTCTGCTTTCTCCCATTTAACTTCAGGTTCTGGTCTTCCTTTAATGGTGACAAACAGGCGTAATGTACCACTAGCACGTACAGTGACTACTTTTCTGAGATCTGCATCAAGTTCAATTTCAGGAGGTTCAATCTTGTCCGCTGCTATGACTGTACCAGGTATAGTAGCAGGTTCTCCTACTCCTTCTGAGTTGATGGCACAGATGCGGAAGTTATACTCCTGGTTCTCTTTAAGTTTTGTTACAGTGAACTGTTTTGCTTGTAGGCCTGTTGGTGGGGTGCAGGTAGTCCATTCATCAGCAGCAGCTTCTTTTACTTCTACTACGTATCCCTTAACTGGAGCACCGCCATCATAAATGGGCTTACTCCAGGCAAGGGAAACTGATGACCTGGAAGTGTCTGTAACCTTTGGATTGCTTGGCGGACCTGGTGGATATAATACATCACAAGCACGATAGAAAATGGATGGCTCACTGGGTTCCCCTACCCCTGCAGCATTTTCAGCAGAAACTCTAAATTCATAGAAATGCCCATCGGTAAGACCTGTTACTCTGAATCGCAAGTCCGTCAGTCTTTTCTTATTGCATTTGGTCCACCGGATACCATCTTTGTCTCGTTTTTCAAGTATGTAACCTTCAATTTCAGCTCCCCCATTGTCTTCTGGGCGACCCCATGTTACCACCATAGAATCTTTTGTGATTGCTGAAACTTCAGGTGTTGAAGGAGGACCAGGGGGTTTGTATGGATTACGAGCCACAATTGGCTCAGATTCCAAGGGTTCTCCAGTTCCGTATTTGTTCACGGCCATTACACGGAAAATGTACTCATTGCCAGCAAGGAGTCTGGTTACTTTGTGGCTAAGAGCCTGCACGTCTGTTGCTACTTGTGTCCATGAAAGCCTGCTTGTCTCTCTCTTCTCAATGATATAATGTGAGACACTAGAACCACCGTCATGTAAAGGCGGAGCCCATGCCAAGTAGCATTTTTCTGCAGTGATACCTGTAACCTTCAAAGGTCCTTCTGGAGGTCCTGGCCTGTCTAGCACTTTTACAGTGATTGGTATAGATTTTGTGCCACCAACATTTCTGAGGTTAAGAGTATAGTGACCTCCATCTACTCTTATACAGTCTTTGACAGTAAGAGTTGTTTTCTGAATAGTAGATTTAATTTCCATTCTTGTAGTTGCTTCTTCAAGGTCTTTACCATCTTTTGACCATGTAATGTCAGGAGTAGGTTTGCCGTGGATATCAGCTTCAAGAACAAAGGTTTCTCCAGCATGAACAACAATGACATCTTTGTATTTAGGATCCAGTGAAGCCCCTGGTGCTTCAATTTCATCTCTGGCAGTAATGGGCCCTGTACTTTCAGATGGTTCACTCAAGCAACCTGCTGCATTTCTTGCAATTACTCTAAATTCATATCGTTGGTCTTCAACAAGACCACTTACTGTAAATTCTGTTTCCAATACATTTGTAAAGCTGGCTTTCATCCAGCGACCATCTGGTAGTTCTTTCTTTTCTACAATATATCCAGTTATTTTGCTTCCACCATCATATTCTGGTTTTTTCCACTTCAGCGTGATATTATTTCTTGTAACAACAATGGCCTCTGGGCGGCCAGGTGGGTCACAAGGATCTCGGGCAACATATAATTCTGATACTTTGCTGACTTTGCCAATGCCAACAATGTTTTCAGCAGAAACTCTGAACTCATATTCAAGACCTTCTTCAAGGCCATCTGTTTTATATTTGGTGTCTGCAATGAGTAACTTGTTCTGTTTTGTCCAAAGAATGCTATTTTTATCTTTACGTTCAAGATGGTAGCCAAGAACTTTGCTTCCTCCATCGTTAACTGGTTCATGCCATTGTACGATCATATGGTCCTTGGAAGCTGCTGTTACAAATGGGGTTCCAGGTGGCCCAGGCACCTTGTAGGGGTATTGCACAACAATTGGTTTAGAATCCAAAGGAGAGCTTTTCCCATACCTATTTTCAGCAGAAATCCTGAACTGGTATTCAGAACCTGTTTTAAGCTTTGTTGCTTTGATAGTTGTTCTTGCAACAGTTGCTGACACAATGCTCCATGTGGTAGTGCTTGTGTCACGCTTTTCTACTATATAGTTGCTTATCTGACAGCCACCAGTATAATCAGGTGGATCCCATGATAAAACAACAAAGTCTGCGCTAACTTCGTCAAAGCGGACAGGTCCTCGTGGTGGGCCAGGCTTTTCCAGTACAATTATGCTCAGGTGCTCTGTTGCCGTACCTGCTGTGTTTGTTGCTGTTACTGTATATTTACCGAAGTCTTCCTTGTTGCTTTCTTTGATATGTAAAATAGTTGATGTTGATGTATCCTGAATATGTAATCTGGTTGTCTGTTTCAGTGGCTGCTCATCTTTTGCCCAAGTAATAGTAGGTTTGGGTCTACCTATAAATGGTACTTCTACCTTCAGATCTTCTCCAGCCTGTACACTGTATGTATTAAACATCAGTTTGAAACTTGGCTCAATTGTCAAGTCTTTAGCTATCACAGGAATTCCAAGTGCTCTGGGATCGCTTTTGCCTTTTTCATTGTAGGCAATCACATGAAATTGATATTCCTGTCCTGGACTCAAACCAGACACAACTGCATTGCATGTTTTGGTCTCACTAACAACACTCCATTTTTCTGTTCCTTTAGGCAGCATTTCGACAATGTATCCCAAAATTCTGCTACCTCCGTCATGTTCAGGTTTTTCCCATGTAAGTGATGCACTTCTCTGAGTCACATCGGTGAGTGTTACTTTCCCAGGAGGCAGAGGTGGCTCTGAGGCTTTGACAGCGTCTGTGGTTTCAGCTGGAACACCAATTCCAAATTCATTTTCAGCCATAACTCTGAAGTAATAAATTGCTCCTTCTGTAAGATTTTCAACTTTAAAACTTGTCTTGCCACACTTAGCACTAACATTTGCAAATGCCTTCCTGGTTGACTCACGCTTGTCTATTACATAGTTCTTTACCTTTGCACCACCATCGATAATGGGTGGTTCCCAAGATAATACAGCAGAATCCTTCTTTATATCCTTTACCACTAAGTTTTGTGGTGGTCCTGGTGTGTCCAAGACTTTTACTGTAACAAATGCAGATTTAGAACCACTGCTGTTCTCCAACTTAAGAATGTACTTTCCAGCATCATTTCTGTCACAGTTGTCAATTGAAAGTTGTGTATAGTTTATGCCTTTATCAATCTGAACTTTTTCTGTGAATTCACCTTCTTCTCGAGACCACGTGATGTCAGGTGTTGGTCGTCCCCTGAATGGTATGTGAATCCTAGCAGACCCGCCAGCTCTAACCACTATCCCTTTCCTTAGCTCTGAATCAATATCAAGCTCTGGAGCTTCGAGTTTGTCTTCTGGTTTAATAGTACCAGGAATTGATGCAGCCTCTCCTACACCAACCTTGTTCAGGGCACACACTCGTAGTTTATATTCTTGATGTTCAGTAAGCTTTTTGATTTCAAATCGAGTGGCATGTACGCCTGTCTGTGGAGTAACAAGTGACCATTCATCTTCATCTGCTTTACAGATTTCTACAAGGTATCCCTGGATTTCACAACCACCGTCATAAATAGGTTTACTCCAACCAAGTGTAACTGAACTTTTGGTGGTATCCACAACATGGGCGTTTGTAGGTGGGCCAGGCTTGAACATGGGGTCACAAGCTTTAAAGTAAGGAGAAACTTGGCTGGGTTCACCCACTCCAGCAGCATTTTCAGCAGAAACTCTGAATTCGTATTCATGATCCTCTGTTAATCCTGTAACTCTTAATCGCAAATCTGTAATTCGGCGTTTATTGCATTTTATCCATCTGATGCCCGCTCGGTCTCTCTTTTCTACAATGTAACCTATGATTTCACTACCTCCATCAGTATCTGGCCGGCTCCAGCAGACAGTCATAGAATCCTTTGTGATGTTGGTAATTTCCAAGGCCTTTGGTGGTCCAGGAACCACAAATGGATTTTTCATCATTACTGGCACAGATTCTAAAGGCTCACCAACCCCATATTTGTTAACTGCCATAATACGGAAAACATATTCATTTCCTTCCAAGAGTTTTGTTACTTTCAGCATTGTAGGTAAAACCTCTGAAGCAACAACAGTCCATGCTAGGCGACTAGTTTCTCTCTTCTCTACAATGTAATGAGAAATATCACTGCCACCATCATGAAGAGGAGGAGCCCATGCCAATGAACATTTTTCAGCTGTAACTCCTGTCACTTGGACTGGGCCCTCTGGAGGTCCTGGCCTGTCCAGGACTTTTACGTTTACTGGTACTGTCTTTGTTCCTGCAACATTAGAGGCTTCTAAAATGTACTGTCCACCATCAACTCTAATAGCATCTTTTACAATTATTAATGCACTGAAATCTGTGTTCTTTATTTCACATCTAGCAGTTTCCTCAAGCTCTTTATCTCCTTTGTACCACTTAATGGTTGGGAGTGGCTTTCCGTGAACGTCAGCTTCAAGTCTGAATGTTTCACCAGCATTTACAACAATTGTGTCTTTGTACTTTGGATCCATTGAAATTCGTGGAAGTTCAACTTCATCCCTTGCTGTTATTGGTCCTGTACTGTCAGAAGGTTTGCTTATTGCACCTGCAGCATTCTTTGCAATTACTCTAAATTCGTATCTTTGATCTTCAGTAAGCCCTGTTACAGTGAACTGAGTTTCAATGATATTTGTGAAGCTAGCTTTCATCCAGCGACCATCTGGTAAGTCACGTTTCTCTACAATATAACCAGTAATCTTACTTCCACCATCATATTCTGGTTTGGTCCACTGTAGAGTAATAGAGCTTCTTTTTATTATTATAGCTTCTGGGCGACCTGGAGGATCACATGGGTCACGAGCTACATAGCACTCAGAAACTTTACTTGTTTTGCCTACACCAACGATATTTTCTGCAGAAACTCGAAACTCATATTCAATTCCTTCTTCAAGGTTGGTGGTCTTAAAACTTGTGTCCTGAATAATAGTCTTGTTCACTTTAGCCCATAAAATGCTGTTTTTCTCCTTTCTCTCAAGATGATAGCCCAACACTCTACTGCCACCATCATTTATTGGTTCATGCCACTGTACGACCATGGAGTCTTTTGTAACCGTTGTCACAAATGGTGTGCCAGGAGGTCCTGGTTCCTTGTAGGGGTACTGTGCTACAACTGGCGCAGATACCAATGCAAAACTCTGCCCATACCTGTTCTCAGCAAATATTCTGAACTGGTATTCTGAACCAGTTTTCAGTTTAGTCACCTTCAGTGTAGTTCTTGCAACAGTAGCTGAAACTGTTTCCCATACAGTGGTGGTTGTATCTCTCTTGTGAACCACATAGTTGGTGATTTGGCAGCCACCTGTGTACACTGGGGGATTCCATGACAGGGTAATACTTTCTGCACTTATTTCATCAAACTTCACAGGTCCTGCTGGAGGGTCAGGTTTGTCTAGAGTTATAATTTCAACAGAGGCAGACTTTTGCCCGACAACATTAGCCACAGTGATTTCATAAGTGCCACTGTCCTCTTTGCTAGTTTCTTTAATGTTCAATATAGTGAGATCAGTCAAATCGTTAACATTGACTCTTGTTGTCTGCCTTAATGGCTGGCCATCTTTTACCCAGGTAACAGTTGGTTTAGGTCGACCTGCAATTGGTACTTCTACTTTCAGATCTTGTCCCACTTGGGTACTATAACTGTGAAAAGCGGGTCTTACATCAGGTTCAATTACCAGGTCTTTGGCAACTATTGGAACTGCAAGTGCTCTAGGATCACTCTTACCCTTTTCATTTACAGCCATTACTCTAAAAAGATATTCTTCCCCTTGAGTTAGGTTAGTAATAACTGCTTCAAGTGTTTTTACACGAGCACACTCTGACCACTTCTCACTACCCTTTGTTTGCATTTCAACAATGTATTGTATGATTTTGCTGCCACCATCATGTTCAGGTTTTGCCCAGCTTAGCGAGACACTGTTTCTCGTGACATCATCCACTGTTATTTTTCCAGGAGGTTGTGGAACTTCAGCAACTTTAATTGGGTCACTTGTTTCCGCAGGGAGGCCAATTCCATATTCATTCTCAGCAGAGATTCTAAAGAAGTAACAGCAGCCCTCCTGAAGTTGATCTACTTTCCATGAAGTCTTGTGGCAGTTTGTTACAACAGCTGCATATGCCTTTCTTGTTGCTTCACGCTTTTCAATAATATAATTCTTTATTTTTGCTCCACCATCCAAGAGAGGAGGCTCCCATGAAAGTGAAACAGAGTCTTTAGTGATCTCTCTGATTTTTAAATTAACAGGTGCACTTGGGGTATCCAGTACTCTTACACTGACAAAGGCAGACTTTGTTCCACTGCTGTTTTCTAAAGTCAATGTATACTTTCCAGTATCAAATCTGTTAACATTGTCTAGAACAAGGGAAGTAAAGCTGCTAGTGGTATCAATAATAGCTGCTTCTCTGATCTCACCATCCATTTTACCCCATTTTACTTCAGGTGTTGGACGACCTCTGATGGGAACAAACAGTCTTAAGGAACCTCCTGCCCTCACATTTACAATCTTCCTTAATTCCATGTCAAGGTCCAGGTCCGGTGCCTCCATCTTTTCTTCCACAATAACAGAACCAGGAGCATCTGCATGCTCTCCAACTCCTGCTTTATTAACTGCACATATGCGGAATTTGTATTCATGTTTTTCCACTAATTTTTCTACTTCCATGTGAGTATTCTTAATTCCAGTTGGAGGGGTACAAATTGCCCATTCACCGTCACTTACATCACATTTTTCTACAATGTATCCCTGAATTTCAGAGCCACCATCATAGATAGGTTTACCCCATGAAAGGAAAACTGAAGATCTTGTAATATCCACAACTTTAGGATTATTGGGTGGACCTGGCTTGTAAATAGGATCACATGCTTTGTAGTAAGTGGAAGGAGGGCTTGGTTCACTAAGACCAGCAGCATTTTCAGATGAAACTCTGTACTCGTAATCATGATTTTCTATAAGCCCCGTCACTCTGTATCGCAGTTCACTTATCAGGCGTTTGTTACATCTTGTCCAGCGAATACCTTCCTTATCTCGTTTTTCAAGGACGTAGCCTAGGATTTCACTACCACCATCTGAGGCTGGCCTTTCCCATACAACTATCATAGAATCCTTGGTAATGGCTGTGACTTCTGGTGCCTTCGGTGGAAGTGGCACTACAAATGGGTTCTTTGCGAGTACTGGTTCGGACTCAAGAGGTTCACCAACGCCATATTTATTTACCGCCATGATGCGGAAAACATATTCATTTCCTTCTAAAAGTTTTGTAACTTTGCAGTTTAGGGTTTGCACATTTGAATCAACAACCATCCACACCAAGCGACTGGTTTCCCTTTTTTCTACAACATAGTGCGAGATATCGCTACCGCCATCTTGTAATGGAGGTTTCCATGACAGCATGCATTTTTCAGCAGTAACACCTGTAATCTCAACAGGTCCTTCTGGTGGTCCAGGTCTATCAAGAACTTTGACGTTAACAGGAACTTTCTTTTCACCTGCAACATTCTTTGCCAGTAGTACATACTGACCACTGTCAACTCTAATAGCTTCCTTCACACTAAGGCTTGTTGCAAAATCAGTACTTTTTATTTCCATACGAGCAGTGTTTGTCAGCTCATGATCACCTTTTAACCACTGAATGGAAGGTATTGGTTTGCCATGAACATCAGCGTCAAGCTTGAATGACTCACCAGCATGCACTACAATAGTGTCTTTGTATTTTGGATCCATACTTATATGAGGTGGTTCTACTTCATCTCTTGCTGTAACTGCCCCTGAGCTCTCAGATGGTTCACTGAAAACACCTGCAGCATTTCGCGCTATAACACGGAACTCATACCTCTGGTTTTCAACTAGACCAGTTACTTCAAATTCGGTATCAATGACATTTGTAAAGCTTGCTTTCATCCAACGACCATCAGGTAGCTCCTTCTTTTCAACAACATAGCCTGTGATCTTACTTCCACCATCATACACAGGTTTCTTCCACTGAAGTGTTACTGAGCTTCTTGTGACAATTATAGGTTCTGGACGACCTGGAGGGTCACATGGGTCATGTGCAGTATAGCATTCAGATGCTCTACTTGCTTTTCCAATGCCCACTATGTTTTCTGCATAAACTCTGAACTCATATTCAAGACCTTCCTCAAGGCCAGTTGTCTTAAATTTGGTATCTGGAATAGGTGTTTTATTCAGTTTAGCCCACAGAATGCTGTTTCTTTCTTTGCGCTCCAGGTGATACCCAATGATCTTGCTACCACCATCATTGACTGGTTCATTCCATTGTACCACCATGCTGTCTTTTGAGACATTTGTTACAAAAGGTGTTCCAGGTGGACCAGGAACTTTAAATGGGTATTGGGCTATGATTGGCTCTGAAGTGAGGTAGGTACTCTTCCCATACCTGTTCTCAGCTGCGATTCTGAACTGATATTCACAGCCAGTCTTTAATCGACATGCTTTTATAGTTGTTCTTGCAACAGTAGCTGACACAATCTGCCAAGTGGTGGTGGAAGTGTCTCTTTTTTCTACAATGTAATTATTGATAGAGCTACCACCATCATACTTGGGTGGTTCCCAGGAAATGGTAATACTATCTGCTGTTACTTCATCTACTTTTACTGGTCCAGTTGGAGGTCCTGGTTTGTCAAGGACAACAATATTTAGGGTCTCAGTTGCTTCACCTGCAGAGTTTGTAAGTTTAACTAAATACGTCCCCACATCTTCTCTGCATGCTTCCTTTATTGTTAACACCGTGTTATTTTCTGAACTTTCTGCATTTACTCTTGTAGTCTGTTTCAATGCCACATTATCTTTATGCCAAAACACTGCTGGTTTGGGTCGACCAACAAAAGGAACATCAACCTTTAAGTCCTCTCCTGCCAGAACACTGAAAGTGGTAAACAATAGTTTGAAAGCTGGTGGAATCACAAGATCTTTTGCAACGACTGGTATACCCAGCTGGCGAGGATCACTGACACCTTTTTCATTCTGAGCTGAAACACGGAAGGTGTATTCTTCACCTTGGATCAATCCTGTGATAGTGGCTTCAGTAACTTTTACTGTAGCACAGGTTGACCACTTTTCACTGCCTTTGCTTTGCATTTCTACAATGTAGCCCAGAATTCTGCTACCACCATCATGTTCAGGTTTTTCCCAAGATAAGGATACGCTATTTCTTGTCACATCCAACAAAGTTATTTTCCCTGGTGGAAGTGGTCTTTCTGATACTTTTATGGATTCGGAAGTTTCAACTGGAAGGCCTATTCCATACTCATTTTCAGCTAGGACTCTGAAGTAGTAGTTGCAGCCTTCTTGCAGTGAATCAACTCTCCAGCTGGTCTTGTGGCAATTGGCATTAACAGTTGAATAAGCTTTTCTTGTTGATTCACGCTTTTCAACAATGTAATTTTTTATTTTAGAGCCACCATCTATGAGAGGAGGCTCCCATGTGAGTGTAACTGATGATTTTGTAACTTCTTTTATTTTCAAATCTTGAGGTGCTCCTGGGGTATCAAGAACTCTGACATTCACAAATGCTGACTTACTACCTGAGCTGTTTTCGATTGTCAGTATGTATTTGCCACTATCAAATCTATTTACGTTTTCAACAATAAGTAGAGTATAAGAGCTTGTTGATTCAATGCTTGCTCTATCCAAAGATTCCCCATGTTCTCTTGTCCATTTTACTTCAGGTGCTGGTCTTCCTTTAATTGGGACAAAGAGCCTTAGAGTACAGCAGGCTCTAATAGTGACAACTTTACGTAGTTCTGCATCAAGTTCAATCTCTGGAGGTAGCATTCTTTCTTCAGCTTTTGGAGTCCCAGGAACAAGAGCAGGTTCTCCAAGACCTTCAGAGTTCATAGCGTATATCCGTATTTTATATTCTTGATTTTCCTTCAGGTCAGTGATGGTAAAAGAAGTGGCCTTTAGACCTACTGGTGGAGTAACAATCTTCCACTCGTCTTCTTCAGGTAGTGCGATCTCAACCATGTAACCCGTGATCTCTGAACCACCATCATATATTGGTTTGTTCCATGCTATTGTAATTGAGGACTTGCTGCTATCCAAAACACGAGGATTACCTGGGGGACCAGGCTTAAATACAGTATCACAAGCTTTATAGAATGGACTGGTTGGGCTTGGCTCACTGACTCCAGCAGCATTTTCAGCCATGACTCTGTATTCATATTCATGGCCTTCAGTCAGCCCAGACACCTTATAACGTAAGTCTGTAACAACCCGTTTGTTACATTTCACCCACCGTAAACCAGCCCTGTCTCGACGTTCCACAATATAGTTAGTTATTGGGCTCCCACCATCAGAATCAGGATGGCCCCAGCAGACAACCATAGAATCTTTTGTAATTGCTGTAACTTCAGGTGTTTTAGGAGGATCAGGTGGCACATATGGATTTACTGCAAGAATGGGCTCCGATTCCAGAGGCTCACCAACTCCATATTTGTTAACAGCCATAACACGGAACACGTACTCATTGCCCTTCAACAGCTTAGTAACCTTCAGTTTAGTTAATGGAACTTCTGTGGCTACAGCTGTCCATGCCAATCTACTGGTTTCACGTTTTTCAACCACATAATGGTCAATCTTTGCTCCTCCATCATCCAGTGGAGGTAGCCATGACAGCACACATTTTTCTGCAGTGACTTCAGACACAGCCAAAGGCCCTTCTGGGGGACCAGGTCTGTCAAGAACTTTAACATTGAAGATATGCTTGGCAAAGCCACCAGGATTTGTTGCAGTAAGTGTATAGGCACCGCCATCTCTTCTTGAAGAATCTTTATTGATAAGAACAGTAGAGAAATCTGCTATTCTTATTTCTAATTTTGCTGTGTCTTCAAGTTCTTTTTCTCCTTTTGTCCATGTCATAGTTGGTGGAGGGCGACCTGAAATATCAGCCTCGAGTCTAAAAACTTCACCTGCTTTCAGCACTAAGGTGTCTTTGTATTTAGCATCCACCCTTATCTTTGGTGCTTCAATGTCATCTCTACAAGTTATTGCATCTGATGGCTCAGAGGGCTGACTAACAGCCCCTCCAGCATTCCTAGCAATCACACGGAATTCATAGGCAGAATCTTCTGTCAAACCACTTACAGTGAATTCAGTCTCTAGTATATTGCTGAAATTAGCCTTCAGCCAACGGCCATTAGGAAGGTCTCTTTTTTCAACGGTGTAGCCAGTTATCTTAAAACCTCCATTATATTCTGGTTTAGTCCACTTCAGTGTAACTGCATGTCTTGTAATGTTCAGAGGTATTGGCTTACCAGGTGGATCTATTGGGTCTAGGGCAAACACAGGCTCAGATGGCTTGCTTGGCTTACTCTTCCCAGCCAGATTTTCTGCTATAACACGGAATTCATATGCAATGCCATCGGTAAGTCCAGTTGATTTAAAGATATTGCCTGGTACCAGCATTTTACTTACAGTCTGCCAAAGAATGCTATTTCGTTCTTTTCTTTCAACGTGATATCCCAGAATTGGGCTTCCACCATCAGTAACTGGCTCATTCCAGCTAATGGTCATGGTTTCTTTAGTGACTGCAATCACCTGAGGAGTGCCAGGAGGCCCAGGTACCTTAAACGGGTAGTTGGCAACTACAGACGCTGAAGTAATGGCTGGACCAATTCCATATCTGTTTTGAGCTTTAACACGGAACTGATACTCAACTCCAGTAGTAAGACGAGTGGCTTTAAATGTAGTACGTATCACTGTGGTTGCCAATTCAGTCCATGTGGTACTGTCAGTTTGACGCATTTCTACAACATAGTTACTTATTGGTACACCACCATCATTCAAAGGAGGCTCCCATGAGAAAGTTAGAAAGTCAGATGAAATTTCATCAAATTTGATTGGTCCAGTAGGAGGTCCAGGTATGTCATGAACCTGAACTGTGATTACTTCACTAACTTCTCCAAGAATATTTTTAGCTGACAGTGGATATTGACCGCTATCACTTCGTTTACATTCATTGATGGTTAGTATGGTTGCAGTTGCAGTATTTTCATAATTTACCCTTTGTGTTTGCTTAAGTATCTCGTCTTCTTTCTTCCAAGTCACAGTAGGCCTTGGACGACCAAGCACGGGTATTTCAATCTTGATATTGTCACCAGCTTTGGCAATGACTGTTTTCTGGTAGATACCACGGAGGTCGAACTCTGGTAACATCGTTTGCTCCTTGATAATAACTGGCCTGCTTTCTCTTGGGGCACTTCTTCCAGCACTGTTAACTGCCATAACCTGGAAAGTATACTCTTCATTTTCAGTTAGATTCTTTACTACACAGTCCAGCGTTTTTACCGTGGTGATGTGTGCCCACTGGTTGGTTCCTTTTCTCTGTGCTTCAATTACATACCCAGTGATCTTGCTGCCACCGTCATGTTCTGGTTTTGGCCAAGCCAGGCTAACTGAGTTCCGTGTTACATCCATGATATTAAGGCTCTCAGGTGGGGATGGTGCCTCAGAAGCTCTTACTGGTTCTGCAGTTTCAGCTGGTTCACCAATACCGTACTCATTTTCAGCCAGCACCCTGAAATAGTATTCACACCCCTCAGCCAAATTAGGAATCCTGAAGGAACACTTCTGGCAGTTGGTTGTGACTGTTGAATATGCTTTCCGAGTTGATTCACGTTTCTCAACAATATAGTTTGTTATACGTGAACCGCCATCTATCAGAGGCATATCCCATTGGAGGGTGACGCTGTCTTTGGTTATTTCTCTAGGCTTAAGGTTTATTGGCGGACCTGGTGTATCCAAGACTTTTACATTTACAAAGCCAGTCTTCTTACCAGCAGCATTTTCAAGAGTCATTACGTATTTTCCTGCATCGTATCTGGTGCACTCTGTGACAATCAAGAGTGTAAAAGAGTCTGTATTTTCAATGCTGGCACGTCCTTTGAGTGAAACATCATCTTTTGTCCATGTAACTTCTGGAGTTGGACGTCCTTTAATTGGCACAAAAATCCGAATAGTTAATCCAGCTCTAACAACAAGTGTTCTTCTTAGCTCAGCATCTAATTCAAAGTCAGGAATCTCTTCCCGGTCTTTGATTTCCACACTTGGAATTATTGCTGGTTCACCGACACCTGCAGCATTCATGGCAGAGATTCTGAAATTGTATTTGGCTCCTGTCTGCAGATGAGCAACGACAAACTGAGTGATTCTTAAAGCAGTCCCTGTAGTGTCTTTTACCCATTCTTCTTCTCCTTCCTTTTGATGCTCTACTATATAGCCAATGATGTCAAGACCACCGTCATAGTGAGGCTTGCCCCAGGCTAAAGATGCACTTGTCTTTGTAGTATCAGTCACTCTTGGATTTGCAGGTGGACCTGGTGGGTCTGAGAAGTAAGGAAAAGATAAAATATTACATTACAGAAGAAGTCGCTCTTATGCTGTGTAAATGCTCCCTGCCCATCTCACCCACCGCAAAAAAGAAAAGGCATGATACTAACATGCAACATCCTTGCATATGACTGAGTTTGAAGCATCACTTGGTGGCCCAACTCCTGCTCTGTTTTCTGCACTGACACGGAATTCATATTCGTTTCCTTCCAGGAGACCAGTTACTTTGCATCTGAGATCTGAAACTGGTTTCTTTGTTGCTCTGACCCATCTTAAACCTTTCTTTTCTCTTCGCTCCACATAGTAACCTGTGATTTCACTTCCACCATCATCTACTGGCCTTTTCCAGGTAACTGTGACGGTATTTTTAGTCACATTTGTTACTTCTGGTTTTCCAGGAGGGCCTGGGGGACCTGATAAGGAAGAAGAAAGTACAGTTAAAACAAAAATCAAGTCTTCAGAGATTAATAAAAACACACTGAAACTTCTACATACCAAATCTGTCCACCATTTTAACTGGTTCTGATTGTACTGGTTCACCCTTGCCATATTGATTTACTGCTGAGACGCGGAAAACATATTCATTTCCTTGAATGAGCTTGCTAACAACATGCCTACAGCTTTCAATATTTTCAGCAACCAATGTCCAGAGCAGTCGGCTAGTTTCTCTCTTTTCAAGAACATATGATTTGACTGGTGATCCACCATCTTCTGCAGGAGGTGACCATGTAAGAGTCGCTTTTTCTGCTGAAACATTGCTGATCTCAATAGGCCCCGGAGGTCCTGGAACATCTAAAACTTTCACATGTACGCTCTCCTGCTTAGTGCCAAAAGGATTGGTTGCAGTGATTGTGTATTCTCCAGAATCTTTTCTGGCTGCATATTTGACGGTTAGAGTAGAAGAAGTTGGTGTGGTTGCAATGTGCACAAGCTCTGAAGGTCTAAAATCTTTCCCAGCTTTTGACCATGCTGAAGTTGGGGGTGGTTTGCCACGGATACTAATAGCAGACACTGTAATGGTGTCTCCCGCTTTTACTGTTAAACCTTCCTTCAAAGTAGGATCGATAACAATACTTGGTGCCTCTGTCAAAACAAGCAAACAAACACACAAACAAAAAACCCCAATTGTTATAACAAGAACATAGGGAAAAAAAAAAAAGAAAGAGGATTTGACATTAATTATTCAAATAAAATTCTGCATTTTTAATGTAATCTACCTACCATACTCATCCTTGCATATTATGGTTCCTGTGGATTCAGATGGAGGACTGATAGCTCCAGCAGTGTTCTTTGCTCTAATTCTGAACTCATATTTGGAGCCTTCAGTGAGGTCAGTTACAGTAAATGCACAGTCTGGAACATTCACATGATTAGCTTTTGTCCAAGTCTTTGAGGGTAAATCACGCTTTTCAACAATATAGCCAGTTAACTTATGTCCACCATCATATTTTGGTTCTGTCCAAATGAGTGTTACTGAGTTCCTAGTTACATTGATAACTTCAGGTTTCCCAGGGGGATCTAGAAGAAACAAAAATAAATAGTGGTCAAACTAAAGTTATTTAAAATCTCAGAATTTTCCTTTTTATTCTCCTCATGACTTACCAATAGGATCAAGTGCCACAACTGGTTCAGATGGTAGACTTGGTTTACCTACTCCAGCCATATTGATTGCCATTACTCTGAATTCATATTCCAGACCTTCAGTTAACCCTGTCACTCTGAAATCTTTCGTTCTTATTGGCGTTTTATTTGCTCTCTTCCACAGAAGACTATTTCTTTCTTTGACTTCAATGTGATAACCTAGAAGATAAATGGTGAGATGAAAATACGAGGGGTTGTCTAGAAATCTTCATTTCTCATAGCATTGTGAAACATCATACAGCCTGTATGGCATGTCACACAGGCATTGTGCAAGAGGAACACTGAAAACCAGATTAAGAAATGGATGTGAACATACATACATTACAGTTGTATGCAACTGCAATGACAAGATGTTTGTAAATGCAAATTGCTAATTTTATAGACTCAAGTGATGTAACACATAGGTGAGTTTGTTTTTCTTTCTTTAGATATTTTGGCTTTGTGCAAAAATATTGTTTCTCAGTTAGTCTTTCCCCGACTTTTAAGTTAAATTTTTAAAAAAATTCATCATAGAGAAAGAGTAGGAAGTAAAAGAGTGAACTCAGTCAATCAAACAATCACTCAATTTAAAGCATAAATACCTGATAGTTTTATCTTACCCTTTGACACAGAGAAAGAACTATTAAGAACTGAAATACTAGGGAGGCTTTTTGGGATATACCTGTGATTGGTGAGCCTCCAGTTCTTTTGGGATCAGTCCAAGTTAAAGCTACAGATTCATGCCGAACATCAACAATGTTGGGAGGTGGAGGAGCATCAGGCACATCTGAGCAACATAAAAAAGATGCAGTAACATTAAAAATGAATATCACTCCTAAAACACTTTTTTCAATTTTGAAAATTACAGTGGATACTTACCAAATGGATGTTTTGCAATGACAGGGTCAGATTTAAGACCTTCACCTACACCGTATTTATTTTCAGCCCTGATCCTGAATGTATATTCATTTCCTTCATGAAGTCTTGTAACTCTAAATGTGGTTTTCTGGACTGCAGAGGCACAAGTCACCCACTTATTGTTTACATTATCTCTCTTCTCCAGGACATAGTTAGTGATTTCTGAACCACCATCATCTTTCGGAGGGCCCCACTTTAAGGTTATGGCATCGGCTGTGACTTCTTCAAATTTCACCGGACCTGTTGGTATGCCAGGTTTGCCAACAACTTTCACAGAAATAGTGCCTTCCTTGCTGCCAACAACGTTCTTCAGAGTTATTGTGTATTTTCCAGCATCAGCTTTCTGGCAGTCATGTACTACAAGTGTGGTGTTAACTGCTGTAGATTCAAATGCAACTCTTCCACTCTCAGTAAGTGCCTGGTCTTCATCTTTCTTCCAAGTTACAGTTGGGACAGGCTTGCCTTTAACTGGGATTTTAAGACGGAAATTGCTACCCTCTTTAGCTATATAGCACAAATCAGGCAGATCTCTTAAATCAAGATCAGGTGCCACTGTAAAAATAAAAGAAATCTATTATTCAACTATGCATAAACTCTGTGATAAAATTAAGATGCTGTTTTAAAGGCATTTGATTTGTATGTATGCATAGTAATGATAGTAAATATAAAATAAATGTAATTTGGGTAAGTGAAGCACTGAATTAATGATCTTAAGTTTCTTCTTACCAACATCATCTCTTGCTACAATTGTGAGCTCTGTTGGAGTTCCGTATCCAGCATCATTTTGGGCTCTCACTCTGAAAGTGTATTCTTGTCCTTCTTTTAGGTCTCTCATTGAAAAATGGAGGTTCTTTGCCTGCATGACTTCTTGCCATTTATCTTCACCAATCAGGAGCTCAACAACATATGCAAAAATACGGCTTCCACCATCACTGATAGGTTTTTTCCATACTAAATTGCATGATGATTTTGTTACAGCTGAAGCTTTTAGATCCACAACTGGCCCAGGTGTTTCTAGAAGGAAGAAAAGCGTAGTAAGTGTACATTCAAGCTAAAAATAAAAATGATTGGAATACCAAAATAGGCAAAATAGATTCATTTTTCTTACCAGAAGCTTTAACAGCATCACGAGTTTCACAGGGGTCACCAATACCATATTCATTTTCAGCAAAAACCCTGAAGAAGTAAGATTTGCCTTCTTCTAAGTTAGTTATCCTGCAGCTTGTCTTTGGACATTCTGTTGTTACTGTGGACCATGACTTTCTTTCTGCATCACGTTTTTCAACGACATAATTTGTGATTGGACTGCCACCATCTATTAGCGGAGGTTCCCATGTAATGAAGGCAGAATCCTTAGATGCTTCCTTTACAATCAGGTTTACTGGAGGGCCTGGAGTATCTAGATAAACACAACAACCCCAACATTTGATTTAGTAAACAAAATGCAAAAAATTAATCGGTTAAAAAGTTAACAAATATATTATAATGGGGAAAACCCTGACACTTACCAAGTACTTTTACAACAATCGTGTATGCCTTTTTGCCACAGCTGTTCTCCAGGCTGAGGACGTATTTTCCAGCATCATATTTGTTTACATTTTCACAACGCAGGAAGGTATCAAAATCAGTTGACTTGATGTCTAATCCTTGTCTATCTCTTAGGTTGGCACCCACTTTAGACCATGTAATCTTTGGAGGTGGACGTCCTCTTACTGGCACATAAAGTCTCATTGTGACTCCAGCACGCAACACAAGGACTTTCCGTAGTTCTGCATCAAGTTCTCCTTCAGGAGGAACTGTGTGTTTAACAAAAACCATGCAATTAAAACATCATCTTTAAGACTATCACTCAAGGTACTGTGACAAAAAGTCCCTCTTTTCTGGCATTTCACTAGATTAACCAACTTGTTCTCATGCCCATGATGATGTTAGTGAGTTAGTGTCCTGACTCCCATTTCAAGATCATTTGCAAACTTGGCATTTTTTTGCACTGATGTAATTTCCTTTTTTTCTGCCTTTGCCACCATTTACATTACTTATCATATGAAGAAGTCTCCTAGTTCCTCTAGAGCTCAAAGGAGTTTCAAAGCCTCCTGGACTGTACTGCTTATCTTGAACCAAGACAGTTCTGTGAAGCAATGCTTTTGTATATACAGCAAAATGCATAGAGAAGCCTGCATGGCTCTCAAGGAATAAGTGTCATACAATTAAATAGCGTGCCACACAGGTGCTTAGAATAGTAATCTTGGCTTCAGATTATTTAGAAGACACAAAGAAGACTGAAAGTTTTAAGAATACAAGAGAGATCTGAAAAGTCTAATTTTAGGATTAGAGAAAGAAAAAAATTCTTGGAGATCCAAAATAGGAGGCAGAAGAGTATCTAGCATACAAATGAAAAAAGCAGACACCAGTCAGATTCTACTCAGTTCCTAACTGCCCAATTCTGTTCTAAATTAGCCACTTTTAGCCTCCATTTTTTGAGAAATGACACATTGCAAATTAATGTGCTTCTGTGATCTGTGACAAACCCTGTCTTTGGAACCCATCCCATGAATTAAAGCAAAAGTCAACAAGGTAATTTGTTTTCAGTGAACATACTTAAAATGTCTTTGGCAGTGTGTTTATCAGGAACATCACTTGGATCACTGTATCCAATCTTATTGACAGCATAAACGCGGAACTGGTACTCTGTATCTTCGATCAGCCCTGTTACCACGAATCGCGTAGCCTGTAAGTTCTTGGGTAGATTACATCTGACCCAGTTGTCTGTGTCAGCTCTTTTTGCTTCCACTAGATAACCAATAATTGGGCTTCCTCCATCATATGCTGGTTTGCTCCATGACAGGCTAATCGAATTACGAGTAGTATCGACCACTTTAGGGAAAGCAGGTGGGCCAGGAGGGTCTGAGAATTAAAATAACATAAAGTTATCATACCAAATGCTGTACAAAAGTATTTGGAAATAACTATGGAAAATATCTGAGACTTTTAGCTTACATTGAGGATCACGAGCATACACTGCTTTAGATGGTGCGCTAGGCTTGCCAGGTCCGGCCTTATTCAACGCTATCACCCGGAACTCATATTCTGTTCCTTCCTGGAGTCCAGTAGCCTTAACAGTTCTTTCAATGACAGGTTTTCTGTTTACCTTTGTCCAGTTAAGAGCCTTAGTTTCACGCTTCTCAAGTATATAACCAGTTATTGGGGATCCACCATCACTAGCTGGTGGCTTCCAGCTAACAGTCATAAAGTCTTTCGTCACATTGCTTATTATCGGTGGATCACAAGGTCCGGGTACATCTGTGAAGATTTATTTGAAAGTTATGTTCACATTCATAAGGTGTACACAAAAAAACAGTGACTAATGAAGCTATCCCACAAAGCACTTACCATATGGATTCTTAGCAACTGCTGGTTCAGTCAAGATAGGGTCTCCAACACCATATTTGTTTTCAGCACATATGCGGAACTGATACTCATGTCCTTCTATTAGTTTCTCCACTGTGCAACTTGTAATGGGTACATTGGCACTGACTTGGGCCCAGTTTGGCCTGCTTGTTTCACGCTTGTCTACAATGTAGTTAGTAATTTCTGAACCTCCATCTTCCAGAGGAGGCTCCCAAGAAAGCATTGCACGATCTGCATACATATGTTTGATTTTAACGGAGGCTGGTGGACCAGGCTTATCTAGAAGAATTAACATCACATTGTTATAGCTCTATCTCTTGCTTTATCATTTAATCACTTAATCATTTAATAATGTATTTATTAACAGACAGTTTTTAGCTTACCAAGTACTTTAAGCTTAATGGTTGCTGACTTTGATCCACTTGCATTTTCAGCAGTAATAGTATAGTCTCCTGTTTGCTTCCTGTTAACACTGAACAACTCAACTGTAGCAAGATTTCTCTTTGTGGTGATCTTAACACCTTCAGATGGCTTTAAAACTTCTTCTTCTTTCTTCCAGGTGATTGTTGGCATTGGTTTGCCATATACATTTGCCTCCAGACGCACATTAGTTCCAGCTTTTACTGTAAGCTGTGATTGCATAGACAAATCCAGCTCTATTCTGGGGGGAACTGAAAGGAAAGAGCCCAAGAGTTAATCAATCTAGTAAGAGATAAACATCTCATTCTTCCCATGAATGCTAGTTCAATATGCACAGATTCTTATCAGAGTTCTCTCATGCTTTTACATTTCTTACCATTTTCTGGGTGAATGGTCACTGGATCGGAAGGTTCTGAAGGTCGGCTAATGTTAACTGCTGTCTTCGCAATTGCTCTAAATTGATATTGCGCATTTTCTTCCAAATCAGTAGCAGTGTACTCTTCTACGGGTATTTGATGTGGAGTTGTATTGCACCGAACCCACTTATCACCAGGTAATTTGCAAGCCTCAACAAAGTAGCCAATCAGTTTGCTACCACCATCATGTTTTGGTCTTGTCCATACCAGTGATACAGTACTCTTAGTGACATCAATAACTTCAGGTTTTCCAGGGGGATCTAAGGCAAATAAGATCATGTTATAGTCTGTTTTGCCAAAAAAGCTAACATATTAAAAAATGGCTTTAATAGTGCTGGATCCTATTTACAGCATACCCAGACAGTGCACTCACAGCTCAGTCATGGTAAACATTAAAATATAAACATAAGGGCAAACTGAAGATCATAAAGAGTTGCAGATATATTGAAAATGACCATAAAACCAGTAGTCTGTTGCAAATTAGTGGTATGTTTGGCTTACCAACTGGTGCTCTTGCTGTGACAAACTCAGTTGGTTTGCTAGGTTTACTTGCTCCAGCTCTGTTCAATGCATAAATTCTGAAAGTATACTCAAGACCTTCGATGAGGCCCACACAAGGGTATTCGGTGGAGCGCACAGCTGTGTCATTAGCTTTCACCCACAGTAAACTGTTTCTTTCTTTGCGCTCAATGAGATAACCGGTGATTGGACTGCCTCCATCACTATCTGGTTTATCCCAGGCAACAAAAATGCAGTCCTTATTGACCTTGGTAATACGTGCATTCTTTGGTTCACTAGGAACATCTAGAAAGAAATACAAAGATGGATATCAATCACATGCTTTCTTACTAGGAAGACTAAAAAGAGAAATGCTGCTATCAGAAACTGACATACCAAATGGGAACCTTGCAATCATCTTGCCAGAAGTAAGCGGCTCAGAAATCCCAAAACGATTTTCAGCACGAACGCGGAACATGTACTCTTCTCCAGGAATCAGTTTTCCAATTCTGCAGCTTGTCTTTGTGACAGAAGCTAAAGCTGTTACCCAGTCTCCTCGGCTTACATCACATTTCTCAACTACATAGTTTGTAATGTTACTGCCACCATCTTCGAGAGGTATATGCCATGCAAGAGTGCAAGCATCAGCATCTATTTCAGAAATATCAAATGGAGGCTGTGGTGGACCTGGTTTATCTGCACAAAAAAGTATATTGAGAAAGAAGAGATGAAAGAAAATGGCAACCACTGGAATATACTAAAACTAGTTTTGTGTAAAGCTGGGTTTAAAAATAATCAAATGGAACATACCCATGACTATCACTCTGATTTTCTGACTATCAGTACCAGAACTATTTTCTGCAGTAAGAGTGTAAAAATCAGAATCTTTTCTAGTCACATCCTTAATGATAAGAACAGAAGACTTTTCTGCTTTATGCACAGCAAGGCGACTAGATGTAATTACATCTTGATCTCCTTTCAACCATTTGCAGACTGGCTGAGGCTTCCCGTATACATGAGCTTCAATTCTCAGTTTCTTTCCAGCTTTAATGTGAACGTGATCAGGCATCAGGATCTTAGGTGGGACTGAAAAAAAATCACACAGAGACATATAAATTCAACTCCTGTGACACATTAAATTACTTTTTCTTATGTTTTCATTTGAAAGTTCTCTGCTTCTCTCTCAAGTGGAATCACCAGTAGGAATGACTTGATAATTTTTAATTTAGGTTCCACTTATGGACAACTAGAGATTCTGCAGTGGGCAATATCTATTCCAGTCTTACTTTTACATTCTTGTACAGTTTATAAGGGAATATTTTTGAGTTTGTATTGCCTTCTCACATGTTTGTATAGAGACTTGTGCACTATTAATGCATGACACATAATTCCTCTGTATCTGGAACTTGTCATAGCTCACTTATGGCTGATTTTCTACAAGACAAACATGAAGGAGGAGAGAAGAAAGACTGAAGTTTTTGCTGAACTAAACCCATTTCCACAGTCAATCTTTTTATACCCTTGAACTATTCTTCAAGTAGAGCTCCTTCTACTTCTTCTTTTGCACAAAATCTTTCTGATTTCTTCCAAAAGAAACCCGGCGGTATGTTTGGTGTACTTTTCTTCCTGCCATTGGCTAGTTTTCATTCTCTTTTGCTCCTGTACATCTCTTTTCCTCTTTCCACATCACAAATGAAGAAGGTTCTTCTCATCTGCCCCCTACCCCTATGTCTTCCTGTGCCTCAGGGGCCCTACCAACTTAATTAGTCCTCCCTGCGTTTCGTTTTACATTCTCAACTGACTCTACAATATAAACAACTTGTTTTCTCTTCTCTTAAAACAGCTTCCACTTTTGGCCCCATTTATCTCTCAAACTAGCACTTTGACTTTTTCCCTTTCATTTTAAGTTCATTGAAGGTATTTATTGTTTCACCTTAGTTCCTATCTTCTTGTTCCAACTGCAACCATACCTGCAAAATTCTTTAATAATTATGAATTAGTGGTCAACTTTCATTATTTCTGATGTGTCAAAATATTCAATAGAGTTAACCATAAACCTCCAGATGACTTCATAAAGCATATGTCTTTCTGGGACTCACTCAAAGAACTAGAATACTTGCTCATTTCATTATTAAAGCAGAATATTGCAACATAGGTAGCATTGAAATTGTTACTTACCGAGTTGTTCTTTAATTTCAAATATTCCTTCAGTTTCTCTTGGCAAACTTACTCCTACAGCGTTTCTAGCTGCCACTCTAAACTTGTACTTCTTTCCCTCTTTCAGACCAGCTACAACAATAGAGAGATCTTTAACAACTGAATATTCTGTCCAGCGATCCGCTGGTTGGTCATCTTCTTTGTAGCTAACAATGTACCCATCGACTTTAGAGCCTCCATCACGCAGTGGTGGCAGCCAGCCTAAAGTAGCACTATTCTTCGTAATTTCAGTAACTTCAAGTTTTCTTGGTGGATCAGGTTCACCTTTCAGGGGAAAAAAAAAGAAACACATTAAACATTGAATTTCCAAGATTTTCTAACTATTGAATAGTTGTTGAATTATTGGATGCTATCCATGCTAACTCAACAAGGACAATATGAAAAAGAGCAGAATTCTTAATAATTGCAAAGGTATTATATTCATAGATTGTATTATTTGAAAGAAACTGACACAGAAATATTTATGTTTATCATTGACTAGTTAGTAGCATTGTCCAAATTAGAAACAGCAACTTTCAAAAAATGCAAAATATTACCAGAATTAGAGAAAAATATAAAATGTTCATAAAGGCATACTTACTTAGGGGATCTGTTGCTAGAACTGGTTTTGGTATGTCACTTGGAACACCTGGTCCATATTCATTTACTGCTGTTACTCTAAAGAAATATTCATTTCCAGGTACAAGGTTAGCTATTTGGAAACTAGTTTTCTTTAGTTCTGCAGTGACTGTTCCCCAGGTCTTCCTCTCAGCCTCACGTTTCTGCAGGATGTAATGAGTCACTGGGCTACCACCATCATTCTCTGGAGGTGCCCATGAAAGATGGCATGACATCTTGGTGACATCTGAAACCTTGAAGTCCGACACAGGTCCAGGAGTATCTATAAACAAATTTCAATTTATGCTAGTCTTTTCTTCTTTAATAAGTTAAAATCAAAGGGGGCTAACAGCTTCCTATACAAGGGGAGTTAGTGTTAGCTAATACAGTTGTGCTCAAAAACTGTAGCACCTGGGGGTCATAAACATTCTTGCAATGAACATTCAATATAGTTAAAAAATTGTCTAGAGGTATTTCTCTCATTACTTACCCAGGACTCTGACGTTCACAAATACAGCCTTTTCTCCAGCTACATTAACAAGTGTCAATGAATATTTGCCTGAGTCATCACGTGTTGAATCGGGGATGACACAGAAGGCCATAGTGTCAACCAGATCAACTTGTCCTTTTCTGATAACATTATCAACACCCATTCTTCTCCAGGTGACTTTTGGTGCTGGGCGACCCCTAACAATGGCAAAAAGTCTAATAGGGCATCCTGCCCTGACTGTGACTAACTTTCTCATGCTTGCATCCAACTCAATCTCAGGAGGTTCTGAAAGACAAAATTAGAGAAATAAAATGCGAAGTTCAGCACATGAAATAAAACAAAACCAGACCAAATAAAGATTGTATTCCCCTCCTCATAAAGAGGATGGGAAAACTCACCAAGTATTTCTTTGGGAGACACAGCTTCTTTCAGTTCAGCTGGTCGGCCAAGGCCAACCTGGTTTTGGGCAGAAACTCTGAACTCATACAATTGGTTTTCATCTAGGCTGGTGGCTGTAAATTCTGTATGAATAACTTGGGCAGCAACATTGCATCGTTTCCATCCTGCTTCAGGATCAGCACCCTCAACTTTTGGTCTGATTTCCACAACATATCCAATAATTGGAGCACCACCATCATACACTGGTTTTCCCCAGCCAAGGGTTATGGAACTCTTCGTGCTATCAACCACTCTCAAATTTGTGGGAGGACCAGGTGGTTCTGAAAGACAATAAAAAATACAGATAAGAACAGGGTTGTGCAATTTAGCAATCTGTTATGTTAATATTAAAACAAAATACAGTAGAACACAGTGGTATGATACCTATTGGGTCTTTTGCTACTACAGGTCTTGATGGCAAGCTTGGTTCTCCAAGTCCGACTTCATTTTCGGCACTGACGCGGAACTGATATTCATGACCAGGGATGAGATTAGTAACCTTCTTGCGTCTCTCTGGGATTGCAGTCTTAGTAACAGGAACCCATCTTAGTGATCGTTTCTCTTTCTTCTCTAAAATGTATCCTGTAATTGATTTGCCACCATCATATTCTGGTGGATTCCAAACTACAGTCATCTCTTCTTTGCTAACTCTTGTGACATCTGGAGGGTCGGGGCGTCCAGGTCTATCATATTTTGTTTTTGCAATAATTGGGTGTGTTTCTGTTGGTGGACCAGTGCCCATTTTATTCTCTGCACGAACTCTGAATATATATTCATTACCTTCAATGAGGCGTGTCACATTTGCATAGTTTGTTAGGACAGAGGAAGAGTATGTAGACCAAACCATACGCTTGCTTTCACATTTTTCCAGGATGTAGTTCTGTATTTCACAACCACCATCATCTTCTGGAGGGTCCCAAGTAACAGTACATCTATCACTTGAAATGTCAGTGACTTTCAAGTTTCTTACAGGACCTGGTTTATCCAAGACAATAACAGTAGCATATGCTACAAAACTACCAGCTGTGTTAGTTGCAGTAATCACATATTTCCCACCATCACTACGCCTTGATTTTGTGAGAACAAACTTAGATGTGTCAGAAGTTGTTTCAATACTGACTCTTGGAGATCTGGTTAGATCTGTGGCATCTTTGTCTTTTGTCCATACAACTTCAGGCTGTGGTTTTCCCCTGACTCCAGCCTCAATTCTAATTGTGTCACCTGCTTTCACAGTTAGCACCCCACTTAACTTCAAGTCTAGCACTGGTTTCTGCAGATCTTCCTTCACAACAACTTCAGCTGTTCTTACCCAGTCACTTTCACCTGCCTCATTCTTGGTTTGAACTCGGAATTGGTAAATCTTATTTTCAACACATTTATCTACCATGTAGTGTGTTTCCTTAATGCTGCCTTTGTGAACCCTTTCCCATTCATCTGAATCTTTCAGTTTTCTTTCAACATGATAACTTAAATTGGGACTTCCACCATCATAATCTGGCCTTCTCCATTTCAGATATACAAATGTCTTTCCTTTCTCTGCAATGTGAAGATTTTCTGGCTCTCCAGGCTTGTCAATAGGATTGATGGCAAGGATGGGAGTCTTGGTTTCAATGCAAGGACCTGGACCTATTTTGTTTTCTGCACAAACTCTGAAGAAGTATTCACGGTTCTCTATAAGATTTGCCTTTACTAATCGTTTAGTGATATCAGAGGAGACAATTGACCATCCCCTCTGGCTTGGTTGACGGTACTCTACTATGTAATTTGTAATTTCAGAGCCACCGTTATCCACTGGACTCTCCCAAGCAATCATACAAGAATCTTTTGTGACATAGCTTATTTTCAGGTTCTGACATGGTCCAGGTCTGTCAAGTACATTAACAACAGCAAAAGCTTGGGCATGTCCACAGCTGTTCTTAGCTGCTATTATATATTTGCCATGATCAGATCTTTTGGCTTCTTTCACTTGCAGTTCAACATTAGGTAGATCATGGACTATTTCAACACGCTTTTCTTGGACTAGTACTTTGCCATCTTTAGACCACGTTATGTCAGGATCTGGCCTGCCTTTTACTTTACCAGTAATACGGATTGTTTGGCCTACTCGGACAGTAATTAAGTCTCGACAGGTCACATCTAGGCTTACTTCTGGAGGAGAAAGAATATCCTTTGCAAGTACAGTTTCTGCCAGTTCTCTTGGTTCTCCCTCTCCCACAATGTTGACAGCTTTTATTCGGAATTTATATTCATTTCCTTCTACTAACCCAGGTACTCTGAAAGCACATTGTCTAATGAGTTCATCCTTATTAATCCTATTCCACTGCTTAGTTCCAGTTTTCTGACATTCCACAATGTATCCCAGAATTGGGCTGCCACCATCTTTGAGGGGCTTTGTCCACACAAGATCAGCTGTTTCTTTGGTTTTGTCTTTTAATTTTGGATTTATAGGTGGTCCAGGAGGAGTGATAGGACGTGACGCTTTTATTGGATCAGAGCTTGGAGATGGTTTGCTTAAGCCGACCATGTTTTCCGCAAAAACTCTGAATTCATATGTGTTGCCTTCAAAAAGACCAGTGACTCTGTATTTCATGTCAAGTATTGGTGTCTTATTGACACGCACCCATTTACCAGATGCTTCCCGACGTTCAAGTATGTAACCAGTTATTGGAGTTCCACCATCAGATTTTGGTAGGGTCCAAGACACTGTTGCAGCACTTTCTGTAATATCATAAACAGTTGGTTTACCAGGTGGGGATGGTGGATCAAACATATGTTTAGCAACTGTTGGTTCTGAATCAAGAGGCGCACCAATGCCTATCTTATTTTCTGCCCGAACACGGAAAATATATTCACAGCCTTTCTGCAGTCGTGGAATCTTAATTTTTGTGTGACTTGTTCCAGAGCTAACCACTCCCCAAGTTTCTTTCTTTGATTGACGTTTCTCAACAATGTAATTTATTATAGGACTCCCACCATCATCTTTAGGAGGGCGCCAAGAAATAACCATATGTTCTGGTGTTACTTCAAGAATATTAATAGGACCAGTTGGTGGGCCAGGAACATCCAAAACTGTAAGATGTAGAGCAACAGTTTTGCTGCCAGCTGCATTAGATACTGTGAGTAGATATTCTCCCGTATCTCTTCTTATACAGTCTTTGATGGTAAGTACAGTTGAATAATTGTCAGTCTCAATCTTGTGTCTGCCATCTGTTTTAATTTCAATGTCATCAGTAACCCATTTTGCTGTGGGAACTGGCACACCTCTCATAATTGCAGGAAGTCTCACTGTGGTGCCAGCTTTAACAACGAGACCTTCAATTAACTTCACATCTAGTTCCACGGATGGAGGTACTGAAATTAGAGAAAAATAGAAATTACATTTTCAGGGGAAATGCTTGAAAAAAGAGAGAAAGAATCAGTGAAACACCATGAAAAACTAACAATTACCTAGTTTTTCTTGACACTCTATTGGTATAGTTGTATCTGGAAGGCCAAGACCAACAATATTCTGAGCTCTCACACGGAATTTGTATATTTTTCCTTTTTGTAGGCCCGTAACAACACAGTCTAGCATAGGGACCGTCTGGAACTTTGTCCACTCATCTGCACCATCTTCCTGATATTCCACCAAATATCCAGTTATCTCAGCACCACCATCACGATCTGGTCGATTCCAAACAAGGGAAACTTCGGTCTTGTCAACATCTACATGATGCAGATTCTTTGGTGGCCCTGGAGGATCTTTTAAAATACAGAACCAAAATGGTTACTAGGATGGCCAATCTACGGTAGCAGTGTACCATGTTCACATTAATACCAACAAGATAATCTCAAAAATTACCAAGAACAGTATGAACAAAACAAATCATATAACTGAAAAACACTTACGCAGTGGATCTATAGCTTTAATAGGCTTGAGTGTTTCCACATATGGACCTCTACCAAACTGATTCTCAGCTGCAACTCGGAAGAGATACTGAGTGCCTTCCATCAGATATTTAGCCATGTGACTGCGTTTCTTGGAGGATGATGAGATGGCTACCCACTGTGCAGAAGCTACATCTTTTCTTTCCACTACATAGTTGGTAATGACAGAGCCACCATCATCTTCTGGTTCCAGCCAAGTGAGATAGCAAGAATCGCTTCTAACTTCACTGATTTGCAGATTTCTGGGTGGACCAGGCTTATCTAATATTGAAAAAAATAGAATCTGTTATTTATTTGATAACCAAAGCATCTTTTACAAAACCTAGTAAATTTCAAGAGAAATTATTATATTTCATGTAATTTTTAGTCCTTTTTCTACTGTGTATTTATAAGAAATACTCGGTTTATTCATATTTTCCAGACATTCCTTTATTTCTTAATCTCTATTTGTAGAATAAAAACATGGGTATAAAAGGAACATCAAAAAGTTTACCTAAGACAACAACTTTTACTGAAACAGTCTTTGAACCAGCTGGATTTTCAACTGTCAGGGAGTAAATTCCACCATCTTCATGGACAGTGTTACGAATTTCAAGCTTGCTGCCAACTCCTGTCACCTCAATATCAGCTTTTGGTGAGACTTCACGATCTTCTTTCTTCCAAGAAACTTTTGGGAATGGAACACCTTTAATAACAGCACTAAGCCTCAGGGTATCTCCAGCTTTTACATGCTGTTCTCGGGCCATATTTGCATCAAGTATCAGCTCAGGAGGTTCTGGAATCAAAATGATATATTTTTAGAAAAGGAGGAAAAAAGTCTCTTGTTAGGTAAACTTATCTGATTTTATTAAACTCACCAAGTCTGTCCTTTACTTCTACTGGATCAGGAACATAGGCTGGTTCAGATTCACCTGCTGCATTGACTGCCTTGACCCTGAACTTATAAGTCAAACCCTCAGTAAGGCCAGTGACTTTGTATTTTGTTTCAGGACAAGAATCTGCTGCAAGATTGGCCTTTTTCCATTCTTCATCTCCAACTTTCTGATACTCAACAAGGTAGCCAATTATCTTGCCATTACCATCATGGCGTGGTGGTTGCCAAGATAAATCAACTGAATTTTTAGTTTTATCTACTGCTTCTGGATTAACAGGTGGACTTGGTTTTGCTGTTAAAAAAGCAAGAAAAGAAAGAAATGGGGAAAAAATGAAACCATTAATATGATTTTCTAACTGAAATGAAGAGTGCACTAAAATTTCAATGAGAAATGAAATTTAATAGTTTACCGATTGGATCTCTAGCGAAAATTGGCTTTGATGGTGGACTAGGATCACCAACGCCAATTTCATTTTCTGCTGAAACACGGAATTCATATTGACAGCCTTCAAGGAGATCAGGTACTTTGAACTGAGTACTGGGGAAAATTGGGTCTTTGGTAACTCTGACCCATCTTGTAGCCATTGTTTCCTTCTTTTCTACAATATAGTTTGTTATTGGCTTGCCTCCATCATATGGTTTGTTCCAAACCACTACTGCAGAGTCTTTGGTAATGTCCTTAATGATTGGCTGCTCAGGTGCATCAGGAACACCTGGGGGGAAAAAAAAAAAAAAGAGTTTATGAGCACTACAAACAGAGTAAAGATTAAAGTATCAAAGTAAGATAGCAAATGAATAACATACGGAAACGGTCTTTGGCTTTCATCTCATCAGAGATGAGAGGATCACTTATGCCGTAAAGATTTTCAGCATAAATTCGAATTTGATATTCTCTTCCTTCAAGCAGCTTAGGAATTTTGCATGTTGTCTTAACTGTGGCAGATGTAACTGGCATCCACAGGTCTCTGTGTGCATCCTTCTTCTCAATAATGTAATTTGTAATTTCACTGCCTCCATCATCTAATGGAGGTTTCCAGGAAACTACCATATGATCTTTATGAACTTCATCAAATATAACTGGGCCTACCGGAGGTGATGGGCGATCTGTTTAAAAAAAAATAAAGCATATCCATGCTTTTATATGAACTTCACATAATGACATAGATTAAACAGTGTCAATATAGTAAATATACTATGAAATTAGAAACTTGACATCACAGTTTTAATAAGGAATCAAGACCTCAAGATGATTCCTCTTTAACACGTGTTTGACTCGCTAGACTTAATTCCTTAATGCTTATAAGGTATTTGGTGGTTGATATTTTCTACAGTGTTGACATTCCCTAAATGCATATAGAGACGTTAAATTATTCATGCTGAATAAACTAAGCCAGAGTTAACTATGTACTCAAAATTAAAGAACAGTATTTCAGCATAAATGAGGATGCAGTAAATAAAATTATTGTAATGAAGAACACATTTTAATATTTACATTTTATATAATTCAGTGAATTCTAATCACCACTAAAAATCACATACAACACTGTTGTTTAGTAAAACCTACCAACAACATTAACTTGACAAAATCCTTTTCTTGATCCTGTGCTGTTCTCTACAGTAACACAATATTTGCCTGAGTCTTCACGGACAGATTTTAGTATCCCCAAGCAAAGAGTTGTAGGAGTTGTCTTGATCTTTGTACGGTCATCTTCTTGCACAACAATATCATCCTTTAGCCAAGTAACCTTTGGTGCAGGCTTGCCTGAGTAACGTCCAGTCAGGCTGAAAGCTTCACCAACCCGAACAATAAGCTTGTCTCTAAAGTCAAGGTCAAGTGATGGAGGAGCTGAAAGATGATATTAAAAAACACAGTGCCCACAAATGTCAGCGATATTAATAAGAAAAAGTAAGGAATCAGTAAACATAATCACTGTTTTCAACAGAAATATGAAAAAGATACATACCAATTTCATCCTTGCATGTGATTGGTTTTGTGCAAAACGATGGCTTGCCTTGCCCCACAATATTGCAAGCGCTCACACGATACTCATAGGTGTCACCCTCTTTCAAGCCTTCTACAGTGTATTTCCTATCAAGCATCTTCTCCTTTGTAACTTTGTGGAATTTCTCTTTTCCAATGAGACGGCTCTCTAGAACGTACATGGTGATATCTGAGCCTCCATTATATTTTGGAGGGTTCCAAGTTAATGTAACAGAGTTCTTGGTAACTGCTTTTACTTCCAGGTCTTCTGGACGGTCAGGAACAGCTGTGAATAAACAAAAAAATATGGTAAATGCATTTTTCTGCATATTCATCTCATATGACAGTAATCCAAACCCGAAAATATACTTACTTATTGGATCTCTAATGACAATCTCTTTTGTTGTCTCTGTGAATGGACCCATGCCAATTATATTCTCAGCTGCAATTCGGAAAAAATAGGCTTTCCCTTCAGTGAGTCCCTGAACAGTAGCATTCTGCCTTGTAACTGTGTAGCTTACTGGAGTCCAAGCTCTATGGTCAGATTCACGTTTTTCAATTATGTAGTTGGTAATAGGAGAACCACCATCATCTTCTGGAGTAAACCATGTCAATTTACAAGAGTCACTGGTTAGGTTCTCAGTAAGGAATGGCATTCCAACTGGGCCTGGCACATCTGAAAGCAAAGAAGAAACGGAGTATTTAAGTATACATGCTGAATGTTATGAAATTTTACTTGTTCACAAGGACTGAAGTTGCTATTTACCTAGCACATCAACAATAATAGTCTTCTTCCGCTCACCACCAGCATTCTTAGCAAGAAGAGTGTATATACCCTGATGGCTCCTTTTGCAATTCTTGATGACCAAAGAAGAACTAATAGCTGTTTCTTCAATTCTGGCTTCTTCTGGTAAAGCTTGGTCATCCCTGCTCCAAGTCACTGTTGGAGCTGGTTTTCCTGAGACATATGCTATGATCCGAATTACTCCTCCAGCATGAACAACAATTCTGTCCCTGACACTTGCATCCAAATTAATATCAGGAGCCACTGTGGGAGGTAAACAAAAAAATTCAATTAATTTTTTTTTTCCTCACTTTGACTTAGAGGTACTAAAATATAAATGTAAATATGAATGATAAATACCAATTCTGTCCTTCATTTCAATAATGTCTGTAACTTCTCCAGGCTCTCCGATGCCAGCAGCATTCACTGCTCTAACTCTAAATTTGTAAAAACATCCTTCTTTTAATCCTGCCACAACGAACTTGGTTCCTCTAATTTCTTTATCTTTTACCTGGAAAAAAATATTATAGCATCAGCTAACATCAAGGTATCATCAATTTCATTGTGATGTTTGAAACAAATCTTAAATCAGATGTTGTTTCAGATTTACAAGCACAAGACAGTCTTAAGCATACATGGATCTAGCTTACATAGAATTCTTCAGAATCTGTGTAAAGAAATACAGGACATGGACATACAAGCTATTCTGAAGATTCACCTTTTTGATAATTCTAACAGACAAGGATGTAACAGAAATTACAATAGTCTGTGGTCTCAGAAGAATTACATGTGTTACTGAACAAATAAACTCATATAAGTGAGAGTGGCAAAAAAAAAGGAACTCTTTGTTCTTTTTAAACCTCAATATGAATCCAGTTTACCTGGAAACAGTGCAGGAAATTTAAGTATTACTTAAAATGCACGCAAATGTTTATGGAGATACAAAAAATAGCCAAGGCACGCAACAGTTGAATTTTCAGTAATGCACTATTGAAAAAAGAAGATTTCAGTAATGCACTATCGAAAAAAGTAGGGAAATGTAGGGACATAATAGTTGCAAATGATTTGGCACAGTCTGATACCAGTGAGACTGACTTTTGTGCCAATTCTAACTTGGTCTTGTCTTCTGTTCTTTTATCACAAGTTACCCACATATTTTCTTACATCTTTAAACAGAAATTTAAAAATTTGAAGTTTAGAAAATTGCAAAGTTAACTTGATGTTGTGGAGAGGCAATTACTGACTTTTACATTTGGTCTTATATTTTAAACATATGAAGATAATTATAGTGCAAAAATGTGAACTTTTAGAAAATAACTTGCATAGTGAAAATTTATAAAAAATATGTTTTCTGGAGGGATTTCTATTGATAGACACACAGAGGGAAGACATGCAGATTCTGCAATAGTTTTCCACCTACCCGTTCCCATTCTTCCTTTCCTTCCTCTTTATACTCAACAATGTAGCCAATGACCCTAGAACCACCATCCTTTAGTGGTGGAGTCCACTCCAAGTCTACAGAAGACTTTGTCCAATCAGTAACTTTCGGAATAGGAGGGCCAGGTGGGGCTGAAAAATATCATCATACCATTACAGCATAACAATATATTCTATTTTCTTACTTGAATATTTTCAAATTCAAAAATAAGAATCTAAAATATTTACCAATAGGATCTCTAGCAATTGCTGGATCAGATGGCATGCTTGGTGGACCAACACCAGCTGCATTGATAGCTGAAACACGGAACTGATATTCAGAGCCTTCAATAAGACCTGTAACTTTGTATGAAACCCCCAGTGTCATAGGTTTGATGGGATCACGGTTAACCCTGGTCCATCTCTTTCCGGTAGTCTCTTTGCGCTCCAACCAGTAACCAGTAATAGGAGAGCCACCATCATGTTCTGGTTCTTCCCAGTTTACAGTCATTGAGTCACGTGTTATACTGCTAACTGTTGGCTTGTCACAAGGTCCAGGAACAGCTGGGGGAAAAAATTCACAGATAGCTTGTAAGAAAAATGCTAAAGGAAGATGGAGATAGATAGAATGCAAAACAGAGCTATGCACATGGTCATAGTTGCATTAGGTAGTTACCTATCTGCACAAGACTCCTTCCTTCATTCACCTTCCCATCCCTATTCAGGTACATATACTTCTGTGAAACATAAAGTATCTTTCCTTCAAATAACGATTGTCAAAAATGAGTTTTTCTCACCTTCCTGGATCAGTACCTCATTTCAGTGCCAGTTTTGGCTGGGATAGAGATAAATTTCTTCCTAGTGCTGTGTTTTGGATTTAGTATGAGAAGAATGTTGATACCACACCAATGTTTTTAGTTGTTGCTAGTACCCTGCTAGTACCCTGCTAGTCAAGGACTTTTCAGCTTCCCATGCTCTGCCAGGTGCACAAGAAGCTGGGAGGGAGCATAGCCAGGACAGCTGGCCCGACTGACCAACGGGGTATTCCATACCATATGACATCATGCTCAGTATATAAATAGGAGGCGTGGTCCAGGAACTAGTGATTGCTGTTTGGGCATTGGTCGCCGGGTGGTGAGCAAT